GCTTGCATTTTAATTTAAAATTCTGAATATTCTCTCTAAAGTTTTTCTTTTTGATGTTGTTCATATACTTCAGATCTCTTGGATTTTAGAGCTTTGTTTTAATTAATCTTTTGAAAGTTTTTGCAGGATTGATGTGGGCAGTGAATTTTTTCAGTCTTGTTATGCAATACTAATGCTTTTGTCTGGGAAGAATCTAAGCTGTAAATGTCTGCAGTTGTTTGGTCAAGGAGGATTGGGTTAGAGGACACCTAGAGAACACCATAGGGAGGTGATCAGCTCTGGAGTTCTGTGTCCAGTTCTGTCCTCAGTACAAGAGAGATGTGGAGCTCCTGGTGCGGCTCCACCGGAGGGCAACAAAAATGATTAAGGGCCTGGAGCACCTGTCTTACAAGGAAAGGCTGAGGGAGCTGGGCCTGTTTTGCCTCATGCAGAGATGGCTGAGAGGGCACTTCATCTATGTCTCTAAGTATCTGAAGGGACAGTGTCAAGAGGATGGAGCCAAGTTCTGCTCTTTAGTGCCAAGCAATAGGGCATGTGGAACAGGCAGAAGTTGATGCACAGGAGGGTCCACCTGTATATGAGGAAGAACTTTACTGGGCAAGTGACCACACGCTGGAACAGATTGCCAGGAGAGGTTGTGGAGTCACCCTCACTGGAGGCCTTCAAGAACCATCTGGATGCAATTCTGTGCCATGTACTCTAGGATGACCCTTCTTAAGCAGGAAGGTTGAACCAGATGACCCACTGTGGTCCATCCTGTATTATTCTATACTGCTCTGATCTATCAGTATTTTGGGTAGCTATGTTACACCAAAACTAGCTTCTTGCAAAAGAAACTTCAACACTTCCTGTAAGGGAGGGCATTAAGTTGCAATACTGACGCTAGCTGGAACCAGTTTAAGTTATACACAGATGAAGCCATCTGATTAGAACCCCACCAGGAGAGTATTTGTATAAACTCTTGATTTAATCAGTAATCTACTTTCAGGAACTTTTAAAGACATTGAGCTGAACTCCTTCCCCCAAAATCTGTAAGACCCTACTTAAAAACAGATATCCTGCATTTGGAAGCATTTATGGTCAGTGTTCCATTTTCATACAACTTTCTAAGCCTATCTATATGAGCAAAGTAGAATAGGATCTGGACCTAGTTAGTCACTGACAAATCATAATGGAGTGGTGTAACAAAAACATGCTCAGATGGAGAGGAAATCTCCAAGGTAGCTCCTGATCCTTGTGTCCAGCAAGTGAATTAAGCCATGCAATGGGTGAAGGCAGTGACAGCTCTGCAGGTACTGCACTGGCTCTCCTCGCGTACTGCTCCTTTTAGTGACACCCAAATGCACTTAAAACCATCACTTTCACATTGTGACTTAATAATTAAAGATAAGTTGTTTAATGAATCTATTGATCATCCTCTCCGTTCAGAAGAGGGAGCCAGAAAGCCAAACTCAAGGAATCCTGAGGGCCGTGGAAATACGAAGACTGCTGAGAACACACACATGCAAATGGCAAATTTGATTACAACGATGGGCTGTCTGTTTTGCAGCTCCTAGAAGCCCACCCTCAGCCATAAAAATGCAAAAATAGTGCAACAGGCAATGTGGCAGAACAGGGCTCTCTGTATTCATTCACAATTAGGTGTTCTATTCTGTTGTCACCAGATGCTGCCACGCACATTACACAACAGAAATGGGATTAGCAGGAATAACAAAAACCTGTCAAAGCACAAAACCATGGCCTAGTAGTCCTGACAAATTAAACAGCCTACAATGAGTGCCAGAGCATGAAAATCACTCACCCTTCCTCTTCTATCTCTCAGAGGTAGGCAGTGAATGCCTTCTTAAAGGCAGGCCACCATGCAGTCAACACTAGAAGTAGAGGAAAAAAAGGCATTTTCATCTCTGATTGAGTGTAAATTATGGAAAAACCACCTGACTAGTGAATATCTAAAAGATAGATGTTTCATTCTGTTAAATACAGAGTAATTCAAATGCTCCTGGTATGTCCTAAGTAGCCCATGTTAAAAACCCTGTTAAGCCTAACAATCTATTTTTGTATGTAGGAGCTTCTGTGGAGTGCTGTTAGTTTTATTTCTATTTGTGTAATGCAAGATCAAATAGGTCCAAAAGCTATGTAAAACTCATGTTTTGCTAACCATGCTCATGCTGGTGGGTCATCAACATGGGATGCTGGAGAATTCAGAGGATGTTTTTTATGTATTGCTCTGAGATGACTGTAGTCTTTATATGTTTTTAAAGTAAGAGTAGGAAACTCTGTTATAGCCTGTTTTACTTACCTAGACTTTAATAATGGTGTCATTAAGCTGAGCAGCCAACTGTGCTTGAAATTTTTTTAGAGCTATATAACAATTTGCTTTTTGTAACCCACTTGTCCATCCTGCATCAAATTCATGTCAAAAATGCTGACTTGTAACAAGCTTTTCCATGTGCAAGGCATCTTTGGATTTTGTGGGTTACCTGTCATTCATCCTACCTTAATATTCCCTGTAGATGGTGGTCATTGTCAATTTCTATTGCATCTGTACAGCTCTTCAGCTAGACATTTTTCTCCCAGCCACCCTCAGATATTATTTTCTTGTCCTAAACTTGGTGAACTTTTATTCTTGCCATAACCTCTGCTGTACGGTTCTTCATTTTTGCTGTGTGTGATTTCTAATAACAGAAGTCATGTCCATGTCCACTATAGGGAAATAGGAGATAAGTAGCTGAAAGATCAAAATCTTTAGGCAGCTTTCTAGGTGATACTTTCACAGTGTGCTTTTTTTTCTCCTTATGCTTCTTTATCCTCACTTTTTGTCCTCTCTAAGGGGTGGCAGATAAGTCACTCAGCTTTAGTGTTACTGTAAATTTAGATGACCAATTCAGCAAGGGTGACAAATACTGCTTTCTTGCCTCTTTCCTGACCCCATAAGATTTTGAAGATTTCTTCTGGGAATTACTTACAGAAGATGTATTTCTTCATCTGTGCCACAAAAGCCATTTTTCCCCTTTATTTCGGCACTCTGAGAAAGTCCTTGGAGTAATAGGTAAAATGTCAGAAATAATTAAGAAAAATACTGATATACACTGTGGCAGAGAATTATACCTTTTGAGATGGTCGTTGTGATCATCTGTAATCAGTCCCCTGACAATATAAATACCAGCTTTATCACCTTGGTTTAGATGATGATGTGTTGAATCAATGTTGATGAAGACTATATTTTGGTAACTTCAGTTAAAGGGAAAGAATAGTTTCAGTTGAGAAGCAGAGAATGTAAGTTCAAACTAGAGTAAGTAATTGACACAGAATACAGACATTCCTATATAAAATATAAACTTGATCCTAAAATCAAATTCTATTTCACTTCATTTCATTCATAGAAAATCTTCCTCATCTTTTTCATTATTAATTTTCCTTTTACTTCAAAATTGGATACCTCTATCTGTAAGAGTACTTAGATATCAACTGTTAATATGTTTAACATTTTAAACTCCTAGAACATCACATCTACGGTGGCAGGCAAGTGGCAAAGTCCAAACTCAAGATATCATTTTAATGTTGTGGAGTTAAAAGTAGATAGGTTCTGCTTACACCTTAAGGAATTTTCTGTGATATGGTGTGTCCATAGTATGTATAATAATATTGTCACAACAACAACAAAACAAAACAAAGCAAAAAAACCCCACAAATGGACCAGAGACCTTTATTATGGCACATGTGGGAAATGTGTAGCATACCATGGGGTTTACTATAAAAAATGACAGCCTAAGAGATAAAGGGGATTGGAAGATAAGAAATGGAGATTTGATGTTAGCATGATCGGAAAGGCAGAAGACAAGAAAAACTACAGGAAGAATAGGTATGTCAAGAAAATATGGGGAAAGTCCTGACAATAGCACAATTCTGTCCCTGAAAGATTCCTAAGAGCTTACTTTTTGCTTGGCATGGAGACCATGTATCCAGTGACTACCCATGTCCAGAAGGAATGTCTTTACTTCTTGGGGTAAGTGGCTATTTGAATTATTAGGTATTTATGTTCTTAAGAAAGAACCTTTTTGTCCTGCATCTTAAAAGAAAATGTCGTATTTATTTTCAGGGGAAATGTATCATGACTAGATTTATAGTACCATGTATTCAAAGATCAAATTGCATGACCACAAGCATTTATATTTTTATTTATAGGAAATAATATAAAGGAGTAAGAAGCATATGTGCAGCTTAACTATTGGGCATTTATCTTTTTCAAAATGCATTAGAAAGGCAAATGGAGTTGGAATGCCAGTTAAAAAGCTAGGATAACTCACTGTAATTTATTACTTTATACATTTAGGTAAATTCAAAGTACATATTATAGTGCCTTCAGTTCAACTGCTCTACTATATTTTATGAGGTACAAGGTAGCAATTGGTTACATAAGGGACTAAAGATCTGGTGCTAAATCCTCTTCAACTTTTAAATGATACTTCCATATTCTTTGATTTTTTTAAAAAAGCCTTAACAGCTATGTCTACATAGTAAGTAGGTACTTTAACATGCTTTGGAATGGATTTCCATATAAAGAGCCTTGCATCCACATGCAAACCTCTATAGACCACTCAAAAAAAACTTTTGCAGACCTTGAGAATTCTAGGATACTGGGACAGTGCTCAGGGCCAGAGTTCTCATGGTCTACATTACACTTAAAAATTAGCTGGGTCCAAAATTCTCAGGAGGAGTATGCTGTGTTCACATGTGTCCCTCAAGCCAAAAGAGTATAAACAAAACTAATCTACTGCCTCCAATCTTTTATACTAAAAAAACCCCATATTCTTCCAGAAATTTTTCTAGAGCTTTTCTGGTGTGTTTTGACCTCTCTCTTTCTATGCCTTTAAATTTCTCTTCTCCTTTTCTATCTATTCAAAGTAAAACTAACAGAGGAACAACTATCCTGTTTGCATCACAGATACAGCAGGTCTCTGATGACAAGCAATAGCTCAATGTTCATTTTAATTACACAGGCATGAAAATCCACTGAAGCTGACTTGAGAAGTCTACAGGTTGCTGCCTTCATAGACTTCTGTATTCTGGAAGCATGGAAAACTCCCTGATGCCTGAGACGTGCATGCACTCTTATGGAACATGATATGTGAGTATAATCTAATACGTATACAAGGCAGCTGAAGAGTACACTGTCTTTTCATGTAAATGTATCAGCAAAGTCCCCAGAACTAATTTCTGGAAGTGGTTAGGAAAGCTGACAGAGCATAGCAGGACTGGAGACTCTTTCTTGTTGCTCAGCAGACTGTTTTGAGTGGCTGGGCTCAGCAGAGCACCGCACACATTCAGTCAGTAAAAATTGTTGGCATCACCTGAAGATTATTGTTATCTCTGGAAGACTGCCTGTCGTGTGGATAGCTTTCATACACAGCATGATGTGTGGTATGAAGCAAGTTTTGCATATTTTCAGCCAGAATGAAAACCCAAGAGCTGCAGAGCATATCTGTGCAAGAAATAGCTAAAGACACCTGGCAAGAAAACCTGATGGCCTGGTGGCCAAAAACCTGGTTCTGCTGGAGCTTCTGGAACTGCCTCATCTCCTCAGCTCACTGCTGACTCCACGCTGCTTTGAATCAGGCTCTGTCCAGATGACGTTGCAAAGGCCGAGTCTGCCTTTGCATTTTAGCTTGGATCAAGACTGAACCTCCAAATTAAATCTTGTGACCATTTCCACTGCTTATGCTTTTGTTCATGTTGAGGAACAGTCTCAAGTGCATGAACTGGAATTAATTTTGGATAAAAGTAAACCAACCACATTTGACATAGTCCAGATAGGAATGGGTACTTGGTCTGTGGGACTAAACAAGAGACAGTCCAAAGTAAAAATAAATAAATTAATTAAAATTAAAATTGCTGGTAATGTAGATTTCTGGTCCTTTCTGTCAACTGTTTTACTCTGCAGATCTGCATCTTCTAGTCTGTACTATTTGCCAATGTGGATATAGCCTAAAAGTTCAACTGAGCTTTTCTTTCAGTGTAAAAAGAACTTTCTTACGGCTTCAGAAAATGTTTCAGTCTTAAAGAGTGAAATGGGGAAGATAAAACTTAACCATCTTTATCAAACAGTACACATCTGAGATAAAATCCCAAGCAAGTCCAAAGTGCAGTAATATATTTTAAGTGTTACTGCATGTCCAGGATCCTCATACAATTGTCTTTAATATATACATATATTTTAAAGCTGCAAATCAGAACTGTTATACACCAAAGCTGATGCCAGTGCACATGACCAAATCCTCTAAATATAAGCTCTGCTTGATTTCCCATATGATTTTTAGTGCCTGCTAATTTTTTATAGATCAGTTTCTGCTGCGATGCTGCTTATATGTGTATATATAAAGGTAAAGGAGACCAGCATCCCTCTTGGTGTAGCAGTCAGTTCCTAAATAAATCTTTACTAGGTGGGTGCCCTGTCACCCTAAATGCAGCATAAATCATAAATTAAATTTTAGAAATAACTCTAGAGCAGTGTAGTGCTGTGAATCTTTCATGAGAAAGGAAGAATCCATTTTGTAGTGTTTTGTTTCAGCGGGTTTAATAATGCTTTTTTTTTTTTTTCAGTGAGGACTTAGGTCATTTGGATTGTTTTCATTGAAATGAGAAAGCAAAGTACTCCTACCCAAATGAAAACAGATTTAGGGTTTTTCTCCCTTTTTTGAAAAACAAATGTACTTAGTAAACAACATAGGAATTGCTTAATACACTGGCATATCAAGCCATTTGTGTGGAATTGCAAGAAAGCGTGATAAAGCACAATTTGCTATTACTGCTGTTGGCAGTACTTTGAACTGGTGAAAGAGATACATTCCTTATTATTCAGATGTATTTTGCTTTGTGTGTTAGTAGATGACAAACATACAACCAGTTCTATAAGTCCTTGAAAGATTTGATATTTTCTTCAGTATTTTAAAATTAAGTTTGATCCATCCTAAGTTTCAGCATGAGTTCTCACTGGCAGCATGGCGTTAATAAATCATCAGAGCACCATTGATCAACTGGCTTATTTAACACTACGCAAACAGCAAGAACTTTTACTGGGCCACAAGCCCCACTCCGTGCCTTTGCCATTAGTAAAGTTAATTATTTCACACTGACAGGTTATTAAGTTCTCTCTAGCCCCAGAATTAATACAAAAAATACTTGGAAGAGACTTTTGGGCAAAGAGCAAGTTGGGTCAGATCTGATCCCAAATCAGATTGATCTGTTCTGGGTGAGAGAGTCACTACTAGCTCTATTCAGAGACTGATCTTCTACATCTGAAAAATGGGGGAAATTATCCTGGTCCTTACAATATGGTTACAGATTGACTGGGTCCCATTCATTTTCAACCATTTTCTACTCCTGCTGTAGGATAGCATTTCCCAAGTGCTGTAATCCTTGGGCAATTATCTTAGCCTTCAGTCTGACTTGGCTCATTACGTGTTTCTCTGCTCTCCATTCCTTGCCCATCTTTCTTTGATGTTGCGTTTTTATGCATTACTTTCCCCACATGCACTTGTAGGATTCAGCCTGTATTGGCTTTATTATAACTTTCACTATCTTCATAATGAACTGGCTCTGTTTCCTCATTTCATGTAATGAAAAGAAACCACTGTCAAATAGCAACCTTTAATGGCACAAAGTTCTATATCTCACTAAACAGAAACACTCAGATCTTCACCTGATAAATTTAGTGCAATTTGATCTAACTCTGTCTCCTTCAAAACAGCAGCCTGGTATCTAAATTAGGTCTTAGACTAGAATTATCATCAAGACTCTCTACACTAGGGAAACCCAGAAATATTTGGAGAATAATTCAACCCATATGAAGCAAATCCTTAAGTACAAGGTGAGGGTGTGTGAACACCCTCCATGGGGCTGGAGAGCAGCCCTGGACCCCTGGAGTCCTTAAGTTCATGTCCTTTTCAGAAGGAGCATTCACATAGGCCATATTCTTCAGTCTGCTGAAAAGGTAATGCAGAAGAAAAAGGGTCAGAAATCATGATTGCCATGGAGAGGAAGAAATACCCACTATTTTTTCTGATACCAGAAGTGTGGGGATTAAATGAAGGCAACATGCACCACCTCAGAGGGGATGACGATGGTTCTGCACAGTGGGGGCCCTCATGCTGGGGGTATTGATCCTTTATGGGGCGGTTCAGCAGGCAACTAGGGAAGTTCATGGAAGAGAAATCCAGCAAGGTCTGCTAATGGGAATCCTCTAAGTTGCAAATTTTTGGTGGCTGGCAAAGTTTTTTGGGTAAATATCACTGAATGTTTGTTCCTTGCTTGCACTAATTCCCAGGCATCTGCTTGGTCACTGTTAAGGCCAGCTAGGCTAAACGCACATCTTGCACAAGCTGGTTTTATTCAGTGCCTCAGCTGTCTGTCTGCAGCTGGTGGAGTGAATCTGCATCTCTGTTCACAACATGTGGTTGCAGGTTCCTGTAGAGGAACGTCTCTCCAGACCTACCAATGGGCCTGCTCTGGTGAGCCAAGATGCACATGTGCATTAGTGTTTGTCAAAGCAAAGCAAAGTTTCTAACTGAGTTTTAAATGAATGAGCTGATAGAAATGCTATCCAAATGATCACATTTCAGTTCAGCGAGACTGGATTTCTTTTCGTTTGAGAGAGCTCTGATCTAATTTTGTGTCTTCCCACTGGATTTTTATTCCTCCCAGTCAGCAATGTAATGGGTTACATTCTGGTAAAAGACACAAATATTTTCCGACTGCAAACCATCATGTTTCAGTGGTTTTGGCTTTTCAGATTGTTATCTGCAACTGTTATTACTACACTATTGTAACCACCACTTTTTTCCAGATTGAATGTACTGCTATTTGAACTCTGATCCCATGGATAGAACATGAACAGCACCTTTAGTAGGTTGGCAAATGCTGTCTGTTAAACTGTGGCCATTAAATGGACATAATTTTTTCGTATACATTGACCACTGAAAAGAGAAAATAAACTCTCTCTTTTTACTAATGAACGAATCATGTGAATTAGAATATTTAGCCATTTTAAAGCATGGAGAGTTTATGTGCTAAGTTGTTTGTGGGATTGAATTTCTATTAACTTTTTTAATTGGAGGTTGAATTCAGGTCCAAATGGGTAGATCTTAATAACCATATAAACAACTAATCACACCACCAGGCAGATCTTGATGTGTCTTCAATAATTAATTCAGTCAGATATCCTTAAATAATTCAGTGATTTTTAATTAAAGAAAATAGAGTATTTAGTTGATTTTTTTAGTCTGGGGAATATTTATCAACATGATTCCATGCCTTTACTTTTCACTAATATTTTTTCCTTCCCTGCTTGGTATTTTATGGCTTTTAGGTTCTTTCTTAGCTAAATATTTTTCTAAAAGCAGAGACTTTGATTTGTAAATGTGAACGTGATCAACAAAAACCTATGGCTTCAAAGTGTCCTTATTTGTATTTAAATCCTTCCTCTCACCTGCTGTTTGTTGCTTTTTAGTTATGTCACCAATCCCACTGGAGCTCAAAAAATTTAGCTGGTCCTCTCTAAACTCTCAGACATGTTCTTTTCCCATGTACTCTTCTGTCCCTGCAGCTTCTGATGTAAAACAGATTTAAGTTTGTGTAGAGCAGAGGTCAACATGAAAGCCTAAAACAAAACAAAACAAAACAAGCTGGCATTCAACTTTTAGCTCTGTTTCTTATTATAACTCAAAGCTCTGTTTTAGTTATTTAAAAATGGTAGTATTGTTCTACATCCATACCCTACCTTTCACCGAGTTTCTTAATGACAGTGATGCCAAGTTTAGATAAACTTCTAGACTAGTTAATGACCACTTGGATGAACTTCAGCCAGTTATGCCACAGTGGTAAAATTGACAAGTATTTTTCAAAATAATCTCTGTGAATATTACAATTTAGATTGTGGCCAAGTGCAAAGCTGTGAACTCATTTTTCCCATACCTGAGTGGTTATTTGCACTATCATGACTTTGGTGAGGAGTAGTGGCTGCATGAGATCACTTCAGTGACAGATTTCCTAAAAGGTTTGTTGCTAACTGCTTCAATTTTTTTTTTTTTAAGCAGCACACCTTTTTCACTTCTGTAATTTGTAGTATCACACCCCTTTCTGAATGGCTCAGTAAATAATCATGAGTTAAGTGTTTAACGAGGATTAAATATGGCATGCTGTGGCTCAGTGTGTTAGTCCATTTACCAGTGCTGTAAATATGTACCCAGCCTTCTGCATTTTTTGGTGTTAATCAGATGGAAATAGCAATTGGAACATTTAATTACATGGAACCTACATGGTTCATGGAACATGTCTAAGCTGACAAGGATCTATACTGAGTACCCACCAGCCTCTCCTCTTCTTGGGAAAGGTATACACCCAGAACAGCCCTGGAGCTGCTCCTTGGTGAACGTCAAGTGTTTGTCTTTCTGCTCGTCAGTTCAACATCCATCTAAAAGTAAATTTCTGAGGAAAGACTGCCTTTTCTCACAGGAGTTTCTTTCATACAAAGTGAATCCTGAGATGAGATAGAAGGTAAGTTAAGGTGTTCACTGTAATAATTAATTATAAACCAAAATAGAAAAGATATTGTAAAGGTTTAGGCCTTATCCCATAGTGTGTTGGCAATTAGACTGAAGTTAGAAGGATACAAGAGGTAAGTGCCACTTTGTGGAAGCTCCGTAAAGATTGTAATCTGTATTCTGCCCATACCAAAGTCTAAGGTTAGGTCTTAGCTGTGAATTTGATATTAATTTAGCACCTCTTTTGCTTCTGGGTAAATGTGACCACTGTTTCCTCAATGGTCATTTATTACCCCTCTAATAGAGAGGCTTCTTTGTGGAGGTGGAAGATGGAGTTGAAAGAGGAGAGCAGATAAAAAAGACACTGGTGAAACAGAGTCCTCTGGAAAAGCAGAGGGACAGTTTTTTATACCTGATAGCTAAAAAAACATCATAGCCCTAGGGCCTCCAAATGTGTTTTATTCTTTTGTCTGCAATAAGGAATTTGAGCTCTTTGAGTATTTTGGGGAAGGTCAGGTGGTTAATTTTGAAGTTGTTTGCCACAGCTGTGTAAATCTTTGAGAATCCCGAGAGGCCTTGAGTTGCATATTATAAACTCAGAAGCTCTGGTGGGCGTTGTAAGAGGTGGGACTTTTTCACAAGAAAACTGTCGATGGCGAGGGAGAGTCATTTAGACATGATTCAGAGATGGAAGGAAGGAGAATAAAATGGCATGCAATTTGGATCTAGGATGCCGTGGGGTATTCAAGCAACAAATATTCTTTGGAATCCATGGAAAATTTAAGATTATTTTAATACTTCTCATTCCTTGCACAAGAGCTCTGTAAAGCATACCTAAATGTAGAATGTTTTAGGAATTGCAACAAATCGTATTTTTAACCCCAAAGTGCTTAAAAATCATCAATTCAGTTCCAAAAGCTTTAGATGTAAACAATAGAAGCAATACATGCAGTGCATGTGTTTGATAGTGTGGCACATTTTCAAGCATTCTGATAATATTAATGGTTACAAACCTTACCTTTTATTGTTAGACAATCTATTGCATATCCTCCATTGTTACAGACAAACACTAAATAAGTGAGACTTGCATACAATTTTAAGCTAACAATATTGTCCATAAGGTAGTCTTTTTCCTCCAAATTCTGGTAATCCTTCTTCACGCTTTTTTTTCATAATAATTACTCATCCACTAGTTAAAAACCCAGAATTTTCCAGTCCTATTCCTACCCTTTTGCACTACAATATTGAAATATGGTTGCTCATAATCGTGACTCTTTATTTTTTGTGATGAAATCACCACAGAAAATTTCTGGTCCTCTGGTTAGAGCTGAGTCTTGCATATGTTCAGTGGACTAGTTTGGGCAATGTGGAGGGTTACCATGTGAAAACAGATTAAGTTGAAGGACGTAGGAAAAGAGTTTTTAGTTGTTTTGGGTTTTATCTGTAGGAAAACAAAATTTTCAGATTTTGTACCTTTGTTGTTGATATCATTGTTTTGGGGGATATTCTGCACAACCCTAGAAGTTAAGCTTTGTGTTTCAGTGGACTTGCAATTCTTCCTTTGGAAATACAAGATACAGCCCCAAAACTGCTACAGGTCTTCACTTAAGTATTAGATCACATACCTGTTTAAAGAACCATTCTCTCAGGAAGGTTGTTCATAGGCTAAATTTCATCAATATCAAGGGTTCAGGTAAGAGTTCGTGCTTTAAAGTTGTCATATTCTAGATGTTGTTGCACAGAAATGTGGCAATGCCCTTCATTTTGTTTGCTGGAGAGTCAGGTTCTGTTTCCTCCTCTATTGTCCTTCCATAACTACTTTACGGAGGTTCACCAAAATAAATACGGGTATTGGCTGTCTCCACTCACAAGCAGGATAATCAAACCACTATTATTTTCATGCAAATTCTTGTAATGCTTAAAAAGCTGGCTTATAATTACTTAAACCTCTTTTTCTTTTTTCTTTTCTTTTTTTTTTTTTTTCTCCCCTGCAGTTGGAGTTAAGTAAGTGAAAACTCTGTCTTCAGAATCTCAAGTTTCAAAAGAAACATAACTCTGGATTTTGGATCGTCTGACTTCCTTTTCCAGTGATGTGTCAAGTCCAGTATTTCAGTGTGAAACACTGATGTGACAGACTGCCATAATGCAATGTGTTTAACCACCTCAGTGATGCATCAAGTGAAAGGAGTTCCCAAAGATTCAGTTCACACATGCACACACACACAAAAAAAATGAGGGATAAACAGTTTGGGGAAGCGGAACATAAATTTTTCACATAGTTTGGCACAAATTCAATTATAATTTGTAAATGTTCAATCAATTAGACCACTCAATTGGTTAACTTATAACTTTGAAGGCAGATTATCTTTTCCAAGAGAAAATCTTCTCTTAACCAAGAGCTTTTGTGTTAACTGCTCCAGAAGGAAAATACTACATTTGCCATAGAATATGAATAGACTCTCAGGAGAAAAGTGTGTAATACCATGATGTCTTTGGCTGAATTTCAAGATTTTCATAGGAATAGGCTAGTTAAACCTTTAAAGTTCCAAATGACACACAAACACTTCCCTTCCCCCCCCCCAAAAAAAAAAGGAACAATGCAAGTTTCTTTCCTTTACATTAGAAGTAATAATATGATGTCTTTATCATATTTAACATTTATAGTGGTAATTCAGTATTAATTGCTGGTACATTCACATTTAGAATTGAAGAAACTTCATGAAAGTCCATCAGTTTTTCCTTAATTTTCAAATACTTTTCCGGAGTCTCACTTCCACACTTATTTTACTTGTAGCCTATTTAAGTTCAAAACCTGGCAGTTCCTATACAAGATATCATAGTCTTCATACATTATCAACAGTCACTTCACAAACATTGCAGACTACATATGGGTGACTTTACTGGCATCTGGGTGCCAGGGAAGGAAGACTTGTAAACATGGAGATACAGAAAGCTGAGGGAAATGGGAGGGAGATCCACACCAGGTAAGTACACAGCATGCACTGCTGTATTTTTTGTTACAACTCTACCACTAGGGGTGAAAAAAATCTTCTATTAAACATTTTTTCCTGCTACAAGGACAGCACATGCCTGTCAGAGAGCAGGAACACTGATGGGTTTGGCAGCCTCATGATGGCACCAGAAGAAAACAGTGAGACGCTGGAGCTATGTCCCCTCTGCTATCTTGCAGGACAAATTCGTTGAATACATTTTATGTGGAGAAACCACAACTGTCTGCAGTCTGGGAGCAGTTCATGAGTGGCTGTGGTCCACTGACAGAACAACAACTGAAATATTGTTCAAACAGAAAATGTTGCATTTACTCTCTCTCCTGTTGAAGGCAGTCGCTGTGTTGGCTGCACAAGTTTGACTGAGCACTGAACATGTAGACCAAAACTAAATCATAACCAGAGTCTGTCTGAAATCTTGTCTGCCAACAAGCACAACAGAAATGATGTCTGTCCAAGCACTGCTGCCTCTGGGTTAAGATGTATCGTAATGATGAGCTGCCTCACTAATTATAGCTGAATGCAGGAGTCTTGGCTGCCTGCTTGTGACTGCATGTAACCTTTTTGAAAGCCCCCAAATATCTTAGGAGCCTGAATCTCATTGAAAGTCAGATAGCTGAGGGGTGACTAAATAGAAAACAGTCTAAATGCAGTGAGATTGCCTGGAATGGTCTCATAAATTTCAGAGCTCTCCTTCTACCCAAGTTTTGGCAGTTGTACTCTGTAGAAGTTACATAGTGGCTGGCTGACTGTTAAATACTGTTTAGTTGGCCAAATCTGGATGATTTTTGGAAGAGTGAGTGGCTGCTAATTTTTTTCAGCCTCCCATCACCCACGCCTGTTGATCTGCTGTGGCCGTGCAATATTGGTCTGTACTACCCAAGGTGGTGGGGAGCATGGAGCGCTCCCACAGAACGTGCAGCATGCCAGCTCTCTTTAGTTCAGTGAGGACTGGAGGATTTTTTTCCCTGTGGATCTTTTACATGCAAGTCAGGCTCCATATAGCCCACAGTTAAAAAAAAAAAGAAAAGGAAAAAAAATCCTTCACTACAGAGACAAATGGCAACATGTGGCTGGAAGATAACAGAAATGTACATGCAAGTGCAAAAATTAAATATGGAAATATGAAAATGAGGGTTTGTGTTTTGGGGTTTTTTAAGCAAAAAAACTGATTCACTTCTCATTGCTGGAAATTACATGGGGTTTTATTTCCTTAGCAGCCCATCTCAGAAAAACAAAATTTTTCAGTATTATATTCTGCAGTTCCTCCCTCCCTCCCTGTCCCTTTTCCCTGTCCACAGCCTACATCTTTGCCAGATACTTAATGCAGAAGTGATTAGCTCAGCTTCTTGCATGCTCTGCCCCTGCTCTGGGGTGGTTTAAGCGATCTGCCTGGTTGCAGAAAAAAAAGTCACAGTGCTCACCAACGAGGCTGGGTGTCTCTGAGCCACATCATCCTGGAGGTGGCTGTTAAGAGCTGCCTCCAGGAGCAGCAGAGAGATAGAGACACAGACTTCAGTGTTAAAGATGCAGACTGCTGGGATCACTCTGTTCCTTCTGTTAATGACTCAGTCTGTATTTACAGAGGAATAAAGTAGGGGAAAAAAAATCCCTGGTCCTGTAATTTTCATTAGTCCCCAAGAAATCGAGTTATTGAAGTATTCTTTGGTAGGGAAGAAAATTAGTTATCTAGGCTTCCTCTTCCTATGCAGGGATTTTGTATGATTTTTGCCAATATTGCATTTTAAAGTGTGTGGTTCTGGGACTGTCCTTCTCCAGGGGCCTTTGCTGTGTCAGGTACTATTAGAAACTAAGGCTAATTTGGGTCAATATTCCATTATATGAAGCACAGTGATAGGGAAAGGAGTTTTCATTTGAAGGTAACTGGTCCTGGCCTGTACATGGAGGCAGTCCTGACTGGAAAGAAACACAGACCCATTTTGAACTTTCAGACACCAAATTTTTGGGGTGCAAAGGTAAGCAGTGACTTATTGAGTAGACTTATGGGAGTAGAGACAGAATTAGACATTTTTTTATAATTCATATAACTCTAGAAAACAGTTGTGCCTTTTTTTTGGACAGAGTGCTATCATTCTCCAAATGAGGCAGGCATCATCTTATTGCCCTCAGTTTGTTTTTCATTGTCACCCACGCACCCTGCTCCCACAGTCTGTGCTTTACTTTGCACAGATATTTAGAATTCTCCAGTTGTTTCCACTACTTTTGAGAGCTTATTTTCTCTCTTCCCTCTTTTTATAGTTACTTTTTCCTTACAATGCTTCTCATTAAACTTTTTCTTCCACTTGACTACCTCCTTTCCAATAACTTTTACTCTCTAGAGAGCATCTATAATTTTTCTGGGCTATAACAAACTTCTGATTGACCAGTCCTCAGCTTTGAAGAGTGTCTTTTACTATCTCAAATGTACTAATTGTGGAGTTTAACTTATCTTCATTTTCTTCCACTGCACAGTTCAGTGCCTCTAACCACTCCTCCTGGTTTCCCCAGGTTGACTGATCATATTCAGAGACCATGGAAGGGTAACCTGTTTTGAAGATTAATGCTACCTGCTCATTTCCTGATCAGGAAACTGTTGACTTTCACCTCCTCCCTACCACAGGTAAGGCTGGGTATTCATTCAATACTCAATGTTGTATGAGTCAGAAGGAGATTATAAGATAGACAGTTTCTTGCCTTTAAAGGGTGCACAAAATGGTAAATGCTGTTCATTTTGCCTACTCCTGATTGGCTCCAGAGAGGTGGAAAAGTGGAGATACAGGCACCTACATACCTACTTGAAAGGTTTCAGTAATGAGAGGGGTTTGGTCTGGTCCATCCTGCACCTCCCCATTCTGTTGTGAGGGCAGTGAACATCTTGAATTACTGTGAACACTGGAGTAGATCATCCTTTCCTAGCTTGCCAAGGGCTTGGCGGAGACCTAGTTAAAGTACTGTGCACACTTTGAAACCAAAGGCAAATCAGATCCCTTCTTTAATACACTGAGCATTCATTACCAAATTTAAGACCACAAATTTCTTGGAATGATGACTTAAAGAAGACACAGATAAACGAAGGAGACCATTTCAGGTATATAACCTATTCTTTGTATATGACTCCTCCTGAGAAATATGGGGAGGATGGGTAAAACTGCACAGAATTAACATGCAGTAAGTTAAGTATGCTTATGTCTCATATATTAAATAAATAGCTGCTCTGCTAGAGAAGTATATACACAGAGTATATGTTAATGTTCAAAAAATATACAGGTAGGAGGCTGTTTCTTGTGCCTGTAAAGACTTTTTTGTCAACAGACACACAGAATATTATGTGTCATTCCAGAAATAAGATCAGGGATCAAAAATGCTTTCACAGTTGCAAAAGTAATAAAGAAAAACCTGCAACCTCTGCCTGATGGCAGCAGTAAGTCGTGGTGCCCACTTTCCCTTTTAATAGAGAGATGGGTGTTATTGGGTGGGTAGGAGTATTCATCTCAATATTATGGTCTTAGATAACTTGTGGGAGTCTTCCATGGACACTACGACCAGAAGGACTTTGCCAGCTTTTATGAGAGCAAAACAGGCTAGTGATATTTACTCAGCTCTTTGCTCTATTTTGGAAAAACTTTGGAGTTATCTATCTTTAAAAAAAAGAAAAACAAAAACCCCAAACAACAAACAAAGGAAAAGAAAAAAACACAAACACACAAAAATAAACACAGTTTCTGCTCTCTATTTCTTGTAATTTCATTTTTTGAAAACAATAATCTGTGAATATAACCCAGTGATGACCAAAGGTGGAGGATATTATTAGGAATGCTGCAAGGTGAGAATTGCTATATTGTATCAGGGAAGTGTCTATATATTGCTGCATCATATCTCTGGCAGGAGCCAGGGTCTAAATACTCAGTTGAAGGCACAGAATTTTGTGATAGCAAATGAGGACTACACTGCTTCAGACCCGTGTCTTTTGTTATTTCCCAGTAATTCAAATTGACTATTGTAATGCTGGACATCCTTGTATCATCCAAGCATCAGATTTTTATTTGTTCTGTTGGATTTAGCCTGACTTTGGTGAAATAATGTGATATGGCATATTGACAGCCTAAATACCCAAAGTGAGGAAAAAAAGGAGTTTGTTTTATTGGGTTTGCATCTCTTTACTATCACTCTTTGTCCTTGTGTTATAGAACAAAGAGAACAGAAGCACTAGGACTATATTCTCTGAACCAACCATGGCTTCACATACCTTTTTTCACATTCTAGAGGATGCTGTGTTATTGTTTTATACAATGCCAGTAGTACCAGAGTACTTCAAACAGGCATGTGAAATGCAAGTCCTTCTATCCCCACTATTATCATTTCCCAGGATATTAGAAGGTATCCTGAGCCCAAAAAGTGGGATTAAGATCTCCTCCACCTCTTCAGCAGCTGAGGTCACTGGCTCCTGTCATTTAGTTTGCAGTTCTTCTTGCTCAGTCTGAGACAGGTTTCAAATAGACTCCCCCAACCTAACAAGCAAGCAGGTCTAGAGGCAGCTGTTTCTGCTGTTGTGTCCTAATGAGTGAGCCCTGAAGACGGCAATTTCTTTTCTCTTGTCCATTATGTGGCATCAAAAAACTGAACTCAAAACTTCCTTAAGTTTTAAGAGGTCTTCTGTTATTGCTGGGGTGGTGGGTTTTTTTTTAATAAACTGTGCACCTGATATGACTCAGACCCTAATTACTGTAAGTCAGGCACTTATTTCTTTCCAGGACAAACCCTTTTGTGTTATTAAAATACAAAAATGTCTAACTGACTGACTTCCACAGAAAGGGGGAGGGGAAGGAGCCACACATAACTTGAGTTACTCGAGCATAAGCTATTTTTATTCAATTGAGCCCTTTAGTTCAAATTAGGATCATAGCTTCCTTTGAATGTACAAGTTACTTTGAGTTCTTAGTTCAGTGTTGAAAACCTAACACTTCCAGACATCCCTGACAAGTTCAAATAAAAATCCATTAAGTTCTTCTGAATATAAACCTCACTGAAAAGTTGAATTTACAAAAATGCCTGTCTACAGTGTATAGGAAAACAAGAGTATACGTCAAGGCAGCATGGGAAAAGTCTTGTTTGTATTTTGCATCTTAATATTGGGAGAAGAAGAGTTGTGTGTTATTGCAACAAATTTCTAATGGATTCTGAGGAAACAGTGGAAAGTTTGTGATGATGAAGAGTGGTATGTGCATTTTCTCTTATATCCCTGTGTAGTAAGAGGCAATTGTATCAGTGTCAAGTTCTCTTAGAAGACTATCGATTGGTTTATTTATTTGTCAAATATAACAAGGAAAATATATTTCTTTATATATTATTATTCATATAATAATAATAAATGATACAGTTCTTGTGCTTTTATTCCATTGTCTTTATAGAGAGAGCCACTATTTTAACAGATGGGAAAGTCAGAACTGACCAGGAAGAAAAAAAAAAAAAAAGCAAAAACTTTTCTCTAAATCTAATACATCTGAAGGTAGATGTAATTATTTCCTTCTCTGTGACTTGCAGCAACGTATTGAAAGTTAATAAAGATAAATGTAACATTTACTGGGTAATAAGAGATTGTGGAAGGAAATAAACAAACCTAGGATATAGTGCATCTAAGTAAACACAAAGGTTGTAAAACCTTCAAACTCAAATATCAAGAGCACTGCAAATTAATGCTGCACACAATAGACCCTTTGGAAGCTAACTTAATCCACCCCCATGTATCTACATGAGGGCCATGCATAACAATGCATGAGCTGGATTTCCATTAGAGTTTCCTCTGCAGGCTGTCAGTTGTTTGAAGAAATAACAATTTCCTAGGCATGAAAGCTTTTTCAGAATGTTCCCACTGATGTGTAATAAAAGTGACTTTACTTTTTTTCTTTCCCCCCTCTGCTTCAGCCCCTCCCCCCGAGATGTGACTCTGAGGGGGGAAAGAGGATGGACTTAGACCTTCAGCCCCCTACCAGTTTACCTTGCCTGGATTATCAGTGCAGGTGTTAAAATAATTGAAGGTGTGGTAGGAGATACAACCCCTAATAGCTTTTCCTATATGGAGATTACCTAGGTAGAGAATGCCGGAGTACCTGAAGAATAGGCAAGTGAGTACCTTATTAACATAGCACCATTCAGCGGCAGCTGCATATCTGGAAAAAAAAACCTTTAAAGAGCCTATTCATCTATGTTAATGGGCCCATTGCACAGTACATTGTGTGGGAAATTAAGTCTCTGGCTGTGAACTTCCTGTGCTGTGCAAGCTGCCTTGACTCTTTTTTATTGCTTCAGTGTTATTATCTCCTCCTGGAAATAAAAACAATCATGTTCTCACATTTGAGAAGCCAAAACATTCCCAGATAACAAACTGGTTGAAAGTTTCTTTTGTTTCCCTTATTAAGTGAAAAAATATGTTTTGAAATTAAAGTAAACCCTAAATTAACATCAAAGCCCATCAAATTAGCTGAGCTGTCATACGCATGACAATGTTGGGTTTTCTTTTTTCCCCCCCCTCCCCTGTAAAATACACAATTTAAATTGCTTTCCTATTTATTGTTCCTTCCTTGGAATTAATTTTTGCCACAAAATATGTTAATTTATTCAAATGAGACATGATTTTTGAATGTTTAACTGGCAAAAGAACTGCTTTTCTGCTGAAAGACTGAGGTAGAAAATAACAGTTTTTTGAAAGCATTTCTCAAAAATACAGTCCCTTTCCATTTTAGTGCAGAATGGACCAATTCTTTACGAGTAGGTCTGGGAAAGTACGAAAAAAAATTGCTTGTTCAACTTCTTTTCAAGTTTTGTCATGAATTTGAGAGTAATATTTGAGAACCATGCAGCCTATATCACTTTCAAGAAAGAATTATCATCAAACATTTAAAAAATTTTCCATCCTCTCTTTATGATCCTAGTGCTGCACATTGCATCATCGTCATCATTATCGTCATTATCTTCATCATGCTCATAAAAGAAAAGACTAATGATCAATACTAACTGATTACAACTCAATTAAGGAGGATCTTTTCTGTGTAAAATTTTTTTTTAATCTTACCTCTTCTAGTCCTTCTGCATTTTCAAGGTAACTTAATATGTTCCACTGTTTACCATGTTTAATGAGCATATTGGAATATAAGTAAAATTGTTATTTAATGAGCTGTATTTCTTCCACAGTACATACTCAACTTCCCTTGGGCAAAGCCAATATATAAAAAAGCAGCCAAAAAACCCCCCAAATCTTCCAGTTAGGAAATTGAAGTTCTTGATGTAAACTGCAATAGAATTTAGCTCTTAAGATAAGCTGCTCTCTAGAAGCCCTGTAAAGATGGCAAGGAGAAGGTCCAAATCAGTTACCATGCAGTAGGGAGAGGGTGTGAGGAAGCCAGCGTGGAGGCAGCCTCCTAATACAAATCAGCATTTTCTCCAGTCTGTTTGCACAGATGTCCTTTGCAACCATCCTATTATTTTTCGTCAAAATTTTATCCGTGAACTCTTTGGGGCAGGGGTGGTTTGATGCACATGGTACCTTGCTCTGTTCTCTATGCTTGATAGTGCTCGACGGTGTTTTCATAATGCAAATTACTGTTGTTGCTGGTAGGGACTGCGCTGAGTGCTCTTCGGGTATCTGCATGTCTGACAAGCTGTAATACAGTAACATCAGAGAGGAAATCAATATTTCATATTAGTTAATGATTTAATTATGGAAATTCTTCCCTTAATGCCATTTGTTAACTAAAGTCACCATAAATTGTATTCTGTTCAGCTCATCTTTCAGTGGCACTCTGAATGACACGTTCCTGACATTTGGATATTGGAATATTAAACAGATTTCTCTTTCCAGTCCAGTCCAACACTTTGTTCACAATGCAGGCCATCTGGGAATGTGTACCCATTAATGATCTGGGAGGCACTGTTAAGAGTTTGCATATTTTAAAAAGTCAGAGAAAATTAGAACTGCAGGAAGACCAATGTATCGCACTCTCATTTCATCAGTAGATTTGACGTCCACAGGATTACTTTTTTCCATTAGTGCTTTGTATGTTTTTCCCCTTTGCTCATGTATTTATTTTTTTAAACGACTTGCAAGTTTTTTTTTGGTTTTTTGCGCTTTTTTTTTTAAGGCTGGCATTCTTCTGGTTTTATAGTGTGTTGCTGAGAGTTTAAAAATATGGAGTGAAATTCCAGACTAGCCATTCCCATTTTGTCACTTTTACATAGCAATATTGTTTTCATATAGCAAGTATGCTGTTGGCATTTCAAGAATCACAGGGGTGCCAGTAATTTGGGTGCAAGCAAAATTTTTTGAAACAGTTCCTGTAAAGATAATTCAGATTAATGGGCCATTTACAGTCTTGCTAACTTACTAACAGGCTATGTGTTCTAGGTAATCAGGGTGACATTACTGCCGGCACAAAAATGACATCTCGTCATCAGAAATTTTCTTCATTGGCACAGAAAATGCCAGGCACATCACCTCTGACTGTGTGGCCACCACATCTATTAACCTTATTGATTTGGAGTCATGCTGTGCCACACTGGAAAACTACTCCCTGCTGAAGGACTCAAGTGGATCAATCCTGAACCATGAACAAAAACTCAATAACTAAATGTAGTAGGCACCTTTCTCCATTAAATATTCCTCAGAGTAAATCACATTAGAGAACGTCACCATGAGGAACTTACCTTGGGATTGTGTGATCTTCCAAAAACTAACAGGGAAAATAGCAAAATAGGAAGGAAAAGATGTGCATATTGCTAATCATACTTTATATCACTTGATTTTGTTTTCAAGTATCTGTCTTCATATCATGGTAATTTGATTTTATATAACTCAGTCCCCCTTTCTAAACCTTAAAAATCTACCTTGCTGTTTGTTTTTCATTATGATTGTCCCTGGTAAGTCATCCAATGACAGATGATTATGAAAAAGGAAGTTTTCTATCCTTTATGAACCCTTCAGCATTTTCATGTATTTATCAGCATTCATTTTTTGAGAGCCTCATTGTGATGGGGCTTGAAAACGAAACAAGCCATCTAACTCCTTTCAGCCTCATACAGTTAACAAAGAAGGCAACAGAAGGACTTCCAAAGCTTCATATTTCCTGACAAAAGATAGAGGACTGCGGCAAGCTCCATTCATATTTAAATGTCCCTGGCTTTGGAATTAATAGTCCATCTTTCATGTTACCATTTCCGTTCCTCACTTTTTTGTTGGTGTTTGCTGGCATTGAAAGCTCTGCCCCAAAACAGTGTGACTCTTCAGTTCAGTCTGCAGAACTTCTGTTCTTAGAAAATATTCCTTGTCACAGACAACTGAAACTTCCTTAAATAGCATTTGTGCATCATTGTAGCTTTTCATTGTCTTGGGAAACTGATTTGGGACAAGAAAAGTGTGGGTGCAACCACTGTCTGCACATGTGAGTAATGGCTGATTACAGCTGAGTAAGTTTACTAAAGCCAGCAGGACCCCTCTCCTCAGGAAAAAATTACTTATGTGAGTAGGGGGTACAGGAAGGGACAGGGTCAATTCTGTTGCAGGGTACTGTGGAAAAAGTTTTTATGCCCAAGAATCTGGTCTGACAACTTGACAACTTAAACTGACACACATCAGTTTTAATTTTGCTTCGATTTTGGTGCTAATGAACCAAAGTTCATTAAAAATACTCCTTGCACTGTGTTCAGTCCTACCTATAGTCTGTATAAATACCTATACAAGATATTTTAATATTTTATTTCAAAGAATATTCTGGATTATGCAAAAAAGACAAGAGAAAATGCAATGACATATTACAAAATATTATCAATTACTTGGGAAAAAGTGACTTCTCAAAGCCATGTAAAAGTCTGCAAAGTATTCTTTTTATTCCTTAGGAAATAACCCTGGGTTTCTAATTAATATCGTGAAATTAAGGCCATTTATCTGAAAAACTGAAAGAAGATCTATATAGGCTCCAAAGTTCAGTGTTTGTCCCTGAGCTCTAACATGGGATATACTGTGTGAAAGTCTAACATGGGATACACCATATATCATCTCTATTTAGAGCCCCTAGGCAGGAAGTATGGATAAAAAAAATAATCAAAATTACTGTTTTTCTTTACTGAAAGCCCTCTAAGGAATTCATTGGAATGAGTTCTGTCTGCCCATCTAATTGATAATTATTTAATTAGCAATTTATAATGATAATGGGATTTTACCCCCCACCAGTCCATCTTGTCTGTAAGAAAAATATAAGACAACCTTATGTATTACTTTACCACTTTTGGCAGTTGGCACAAGATATTGTGGGCCAGCGTTGTGATTCCCTACAGTTAAACCATAAAAGCAATGTATTCATATATTTCCTTTGCCCACAGTGTTTCCTTTTCTCATTACTGTGGGTGACTGGCATTCTCACAATGTGTGTGGGTGCACAGGCTTGTTGTGTCACCGTGGACAGTTCTAAGAGCAGCTTCATTAGTTCTTTTTACAACAAAAGCTAGGTTTTTTTTCCTGCCTTCTCTTTCTTTCCCTTAGTTGGCATGCGGATTGAATTTTTCTTGGACCCCCTGCTTGACTTTTTTTTAGAGCTCCTTTTGAACAGTGCAGCAGTGTGAACACTAGGAATTGTAACTGATAGACTGTTTGCAGGAGAACTCATGAAAGTTCTCTTTGTTCACTTCACATCAACCAGGTTTATGCAGACCCTCCCCCATCTCAGCCAAACAGGGAAAAGGAAATCCACTTTTAATTATACATTGATGGGAATCACTGTATAGTGAAATTGCATCAAGTAGAGAATGCCCACTTTATTCTCTTTTATCTAAGAATCCAAAAGAAGCACTGGCGTAAAAAAAAAATGGATATGCAAGCATAGACTTTGCAATATAGAGCCAGGCCTGCCTAATTTAAATCAATCTGCCAACTCCACTTCCAGTCTTGATTAAAATTTTCAACTGAATCTTTGCACTGTGAGAGTGTCTTGTCTTTAGTCCTAGAGCCATGAGTCCTCTCTTCTTTTTGAGATCTTACCCAAAAAATTGCCCCAAACCAATATTTTTTTTTAAAGCAAAAAGGCAGAGTTGTAAGCATAAGATATTTTAAAAATCCTAAATGATAATAAAGATTTTTCCCTCTCTCAGACAAGCATATTGAAATTGTATAGAAGAATCCTAAGGGCATAAAGGAAGGAGATATATTGGGTGACAGAATGAAAAGACTGTGTAACCTGGGAAGAAGTATAAGTAACAAGAGAAGTACTTTGTGTCATTTTATGCTGTCGTGCCCAGTGAAATTAATGGCAAAATTTTCAGCATTACTTACAGAAACTTCTGAGATAACAAATCATTTGATTAATCTGCTACTAAATACGTAATGTTAATTTTCTTAGATTTTTTTTAAAATTAATATCACAAGATACCATTAATGTAGATGTGATGAGGCAGAATATTCAGCTTTACTTTGTGTATTATTCAAGTTTACTATGGTTATATTTGCCCTTTGAATCTTCCAGTACAGAAAGAAATTTTTCTCAAGCATTTAGTCAGGAAAGGAATATCTTTGAAAATGTTCTTGAAGGTTATTTTTTATTTATGTTCTTTCTTAAATAACTTTATCTTAGTTGTTCCAATTCATTTCTTTTATACCATTTAGTAACTGGGGTTTTTTATATTTCCTGACAAAAAATGTTAACACCTGCAGAAGAAGTGTTGTGAACACCAAAGAAAAAGCAGTCTACATGGAAGCATCTCATGATTCTGTCCTTACATATTTAGGCAGAGTCATGTAAAGGGGCTGGGATAAGACAGAAAAATTCCCCATGTATTTAGGAAAGATTTTGGCCTGGCAAATGAAAGAACCCAGGCGATGCTGATAAATCTCAGCTCAAAGACAAAATCCTGATTACTCGAGGTCAAAGAGAACAGTGCAGTTATGTCTTGCAGAAACACCAAGGATGTGTTGAGCTGTTGACCGGTCCTTGTCTTAGGGAACCAAATCTGGACACTAGATCTAAGGAGAGCCTAGGAAAACTCCACCCAATTTCCACCACCAGTACTGGCATACACTCCTCTGTTGCATGATCGAGTCACAGATGTGTGACTAATAATGCTGGCCCCATTCAGGCTGGGGCTTCTACTCCTTTATTGTCTCATCACTGTCCCAGATTTTCTTCCAAGGATCTTCAATAATAAGTTTATTTCTTCCTCAGCAGAAGTTTGCACAAGAGGAAAGCATGTGAGTACAGCCAGGAAAAATGAAGAGCTGAATGAGGCAGAGATTAAAAGGTATGTTGGCTTAAAGGAATTGACTTGGAACTAGTCCATGACTAGTCATCTAGTTTAGAGTAACCAGTAAACAACAAAACAGCCATGAGCCTGGGCAGTTGCCTCTGAACTTCATTTTTTTCCTCATCTGCAGTCCCCCAACTTATCTGCAGAAGTGTGTAGTGACAACTGAAGTTCTAACAAGACCAGGAGTTTTCCACAGCTTTTTTTGATTTATTTATTTGCTAGAGCCACGAGTTTCCAATTTTAAAGTAACGCTGGACCCAAGTTTGTGAGATTGCATGAGTCAGTCCATCAAGGGTGTGCTGCACCAGAATGGGAACATATCTTCCCAGAAGCTCATAGTTTCAAATAATAAGGAAAACAGGAGATATGTAAAAGCTAAATATTAATTATTTTGGATATTTTTATGGCAAAACGAATATACCTTGTGATGTTATACCACATGAGGCTATTTGAAAAGGTCCATTAATCACCAGAGAAAAAAAGGAAGGGCTATTAAAACACAAGATCCCAGTCAGATCCCAGGACTGAATATAAAATTATTCTGAATAGGCAGCAGGTCAGCTTCCAATCATATGAGATTTCACTGTAGTCAACCACTAAATGATACAGAAGCATGGAAATTGAGGCCAAAGTAGCTGGGAAGGTTGAGCCATGCAAAGGAGCCTCAAGAAAAAGACTACAGTGGAACAACTGATGCACAGCAGGAGCTGCCTGGAAGTGGTGCCTCCCTACCCGCTGTGAGGGAATCAGCCAGGGAGAAAAAGATGGGAATGAAACTGACTTGGGAAAAGGCTAAAGGCAGGGGCCTGAGAATCAAAAATGGTAACTTAGAAATGTGGTAAAAAGTAAACCTTAGGTTTGATTGTTCTGATTTGCTTCCTTTTTGCATCTACTGCAGGTTATTTAAGAGAGTCCTCAAAGACCAGTCTAAGGTTTGCTGCTGAGAATGAAACCACTGAGATGGATAACGTTCTTACAAGAAAAGATTTAAAAAAATGTAAGTGGGAACATTTTCTTGTCCTGACTTCGTTGCCTAGATTCTCTATAGCTCTCCTAGAATAGACCAGGGAGGGCCACTCCTTGCTTTCAGTGAAGTTGTTCATTCATTTACTCCTGGACGAGTTCAGTTTAGAATCAGGACTTTTTTCTTTGAAGTTCAGAAAAATGTAGTTCAGCAAGTTTCCTTCTGTGGAGAACTTAGGATCACTGTTTGAGAGAGAAGCCCTTGAGGCTGACGTGCTTTAGTTGGAGTTCTGCTGAACTGAATTTGCACATTAAGTACTGTACCTTGCTGTTGCCTGATAAAGTATCCCTTGTTTAAGACCGCATGTGTGTGTAAATAAAGGAAAATGGGATACAGCCTTAGGATTTATGCTGTGTCATCTCTGAACAGGCCATTTAGGCTGCATGGGGAGCCAAGAACTGCTGGGTTGTGGATATGCAAGTCATATTATCCGTTCTCAGTGGTGTGCAGTGGAAGGCGGTCCCATACCTCTAGAAAATTCACCAAACCAGACTTCCACAGCTGGATTTTTCTAGTTTAAGCTTACTTTGGGACCAGGGCTAGTGTAAAGGTGATTTGAAATACGTAAGATATAAGCCTATAGGTTCTTCAATAGTCTTAGGTCTCTCTGCAAGAGCAGTCTCTTCCAAATAATGTAATATTATTAATAATAAGGAGACAGGTTTCTCCTTCTTGTTCATGTTGATGAAATATTGCCCAAGAGCATTATCCTCACAAAGGTAAGGATGTGTAATTGGACTTGAGATTGACAAGCAGCACTAACGATTAAATGCCCATCTTGAGCAGATGTCCTGAATACAATCACTTCAGTCTGTAGTGACAGTTTTCACGCAACCATCACCAGGTTTGTGGACATAGAAATGAGATCAGAATGTGTTCACTACCTTTCTCTACTCTGCTTGCTTGTGTGTAGCTGTGAAGGCTGACATCTATTAATGGAAAAGCCTTTGACAATGACATGTCTCTTTTTGCAAGAATCTGAATAGCAGTGACAGATCAGGAACCTCATTTTGATGCTCACTGCATATTTTTCTTTTCTCCTCAGTTCAGACAGACTCGTTTCATTAAGTTGGGTCAGTTAGGTCAGGCAGCCTTATAATTATCTCCCAGAACCAAAGCTCTGGCTGAACTTTTAGTTCAGAACATTGTGTCTTTGCCGGGACCTGGTGAGGTTTTCCTCCATTTCACTTCAAAATTGCGAGAATGGATTCTTCTGTGCTTGTGTATACTTTGTGTACCTGCCAAGTCCTCTTCCATTCCTTCAGGTAGTCTCAGAAGTGACTGATTATAAATGCTGATCTGACTCCGTAAGCTTTCAGCAGCACACCTGAGGTTCCCATTTCCTTTCATGGTGAACAGTTTTTCTTTCTTTCTTTGACTTTTTTTGAGGAACTGATTCCAAAGATTTTATTCACAGTAGTTAACAGGTGTGAATTGGTGTTTGCTAGCATAAGTGTCGTGCTGGGTAGCCCTTTGTTCCCTTCCTGCTGCTTCTCTGCTCTATTATGGCAAAACTTACTTTAATAGGAGTTTTTTTAATGGTTTGTACAGTGTGTATTTTTAAAGCATATTATAGAATAAAAGTGAATACCTATGAGAACAATGTGTTCTTATGAACCTCTAACAATTGGGCATATCTCTTGATTTCAATGGATACACTCCAGAACAAGGGACTTGTACCACCTGAGCAGGAGTGCTAGAATCTGGCCCTCAACAGATGCAGTTTTGTTTCCACCAGCATGTGCCAATTAAAATGATTCTGCTGTAATAAAATATCAGGAGACAGAAAAGAAACCGCCGTGAACTGAGGCAATGCTGAAGAGTTAAGCACCTTTTCAGCTGACACAGATCCTCTGCTCCATTGGCGATCAGTGCTAATAATGACATTCACTTTCCGAGGTAGTGCTGGGCTGCTGAGGGCTGGTTCTGATGCCAGTGGCTGGTGTGAGGCGTTGAGGGATATTAAAAGACCATGTTGGATGGGCGGCAGGAAGATCTGAAGCCACCAGAGATGGGGAGCAGAAATAATAGTAGGAGTAGTAAGAATGGCACCATTTCCAGAATGTCTGAATTAAGAAGGAAGGCAGGAGAGGCTGAGCTGCTTTTGAAATACTCTGTCGGCTCAGTACCAAGTAATTGTAGATCATTTCAGCTATAAATGCCTCAAAAATTAAAAGGAACTGCTGAAAATTTTAGTTCTACAAATCTTAACGAGAGTGGTTTTAGCCAGCAAACAAAACAAAAAAAAAAAGTCTTCCTTCTGATAAGTATTTTCCTTTCAGTTGGAATATAGAAACTGCTAAGTCTCCAGGTCTTTACACCTGTTTCATGCCTTTGTAATATGACCCAGCCTCATGGGTGTTCCTCCCAACGTCCATAATTCATAATTTGAGCAGACACTGAATCCTGGGCTGATATTTAAAGAAATCTCTTACTTTAAGAAAAATTTTGTGTGGGGTTTTTTTTTGTGTGTGTGTGTGTGTTTTGGTTTTTTTTGCCTATTTCTCTTTAGTGTGGCTTGTTTGAATAAGAACTGAAATCCTTGTATTTCCTGAGCCTTTCAGTAATTACAACTCAGTTCCTCAACTGTGACACAATTTCAAGCTGATTGCAGTGCTACAGAATTTACAGGATTTTGATACTTTAGTTGTGACATTTGTCCCTCACAGCTTGATTTTCTTCTGTTTTCCTGCTTGAGGATTGTAGGTCTAGGTTTTTATTTTTCATATGTCTGTTTAAAATCTCATTGGGATAGGAGAAATCCAACATCAAACATTAAAAAAACCCCAAACCAACCAACCAATTGACAAAAAAACCCACCCCAAACAGGGGGATTATAAGAGCAAAGAAAAAATGCATATGAAAAAATGCATATGAAAAAAGAGGAAACTTTGCTGCAGCATCAACATGCCAGGACACACAGCAGTCCTGTACTTTTCAACCATGTTTCTTTTTTCCCCCTCATAAAATCCCACCTCTGTTAAGAACTCTCAGTCTTCTTGGGGCAGGAATGAACCTTGATAAAGAAAAGACTTATCCTTTGAAGTAGAGAGCTCTTCAAAACTGAAAATTTTTGTGATTTCTGCAAAGGTCCATTCCAAGTAACCAGAAACCAAATCTAGAAGATCAATTTTGTAAAGTCTGGCATTGGAAATGATACACCAATTTAGCCAGTGGCTGGTGACATGAAAAGTCTGGCAGAAATGAGCTATAGCAGAAATTATTTTAAAGATAAATCATTCTTTTGTTGAAAGAGAAATATTTTGCAACAAAAATCTAATTTTTTTTGGGGGGGGGCAGAAAGGTTTGCTTTTCCTGTGAAGTCCAATATGAATTCTGAAGGAGGAAGAATGTGGTCCCACATTCCCTCCCCACATAAGACTCACACTTGAATCTCTAGTATAACTTTGCCTGGAATCAGAGTTTTTGACAAAAAGCATTTTCTCAAAAATGGTCATATAATTGTTTTCAAATACTTAGAAGAAAAATCAACATTTTGAAAGTTGATGCAAGGTAACTTGTGTCCTCTAGACAGCTCTATTCATGTATTCTTTAGCTGTCAGAAGCAGAACTGTAGTTCAGCAATTACCTGCAATACATTCACATCTTCCTTTTTCTGTTAAATCATGCACACACATTTTCAATTTATTAGCACTGGATAAGTGGCCAACTATGTCTAGAAGGCTTATAATGTGTAAATTACCCTAGCCAGTTCTAAGAAGGAATATGTGTCCGTGAAAGTGAATTACTCACAGATCACAAATGAAACCACCTTTTCAAAATTATTTCAGATGGTCTAATTATCTGCAAAATGTAGGATTGGTTTTGTACTGTTGACATTTGTTAATATCCACCAAAAATGCTCGTGGCATTTTTGTATGCACAGCAGGAAAATCAGTATGGAACTGGAACTTGTTGTTAATAAAACTTGAAAAGCACAGCTTAAGGTCTTTGCTGAACTATAAATGGTTTAGGCCTCTCAAGCCTACATACTGTCTTAGGGTGAGAACATATGGAAAATACACATGAAAAAGCAATTACAGAAAGATTTGGGTTTGGGGTATTGATATTAATTAGAGGTGAATAATACTGATTTGAAAACTTGACACTTTAGAAATGGCAAAGCAAAGCAATCACTGACATGTCTGGAATTCATATTACCTGTCCAAGCAATTTTCTTTCTCCTTCTGTAAGTGCACACTATTGTTCATTTCAATAAGATATTACAGAGAGAGACTAGGCATTCAATTCCCCCTTCTTCAGACAACTGGGATTTAAATATCCATTCAGTTCAGTAAGTGGTATGTCTATCATGAAACTCCTTTTTAACTCTATGTCTATGGTTGCATACGCATGGCTGATATATAATTAATAGGGATTTTGCATCCTTCTGAAGAGCAGAAATGTGTACAGTAGTGGGTTTTTTTTAATTTGTTATACAGGCAGTGGATCACTGGCATTGAATACTATAAAAATGATAGTGCTACATGAGTAAGAAAAAAAGATCTTTTACAGAGAGTTAGATCAAAGACAATAAGGTTGGTGATGTACTGAAAATTAGTATCTACTTCTGTCTATTAAGACTGAGTAGGCTTATCTGTCAATGAAAAAAAATGTTCCCTTGTTATCCACTGATCTGCTTCGATTTCATTTTTCTTGAAACAAATTTAGTACCAATAGTAGGTGTATGCTGGGAGTGTTTTGAAAAGAAGAAAGATCTGTCTGATGGGTTGTGACCCGAGTGTGGTTTTGGATAGGTTAAATCTGGTTTATTATCTGTTCATCTTCAGGATCAGTACAATGGGTGCACGAAAGTCTACTGAAAGTCCTGAAAGGAATTCCTGGAGCTCAATGTTGAAAGTATGAATGGACCATTTAAGTAATGTCAGGTCACAGCAGGAAAAATTAAACTTTAGAATGAGCCTTTAGCGCTAAAACTATCAGGAGACTCTTCCAGGTTTACTCTCACAGGACATGAACATAAGAAGCTATTTTGAAATGAAGAGTCAATAGAAGAGATTTTGAAACGAATAAGAGAAAATCAACAGGATCTAATTATAAGGATCATATTGTTTTTCTCCAGACAGAATTCAAAAGGGAAATTGCTGAATTTTAACTCTGACATCAGGTAAGTTAGTTAAGTATGAATACGGTTTCTATTGAGAAGAGATACGATTTTGTAGGACCTCTATGAACAACATGAGATGAGATCATGTGATCGAGATATTGTACCTGGGTCTTTCTAAAAGCCTCATGAAGGATCCCTAACCCACAAGATCTTTAAGAAACTAAATTCTTAAGTAAGAGAAAACAGCTTGGATCAATAACCAAGTAAGCTAGGAGACAACAGGCAGAAATAAAATAACTTCTTCACAACAAAGAGAGGTTGCTGATAGAAGTGTGCACTCTTTATATTCATAAATAACATTTGTCAAGGGAGGGGGATAATTCAGGAGGTGCCACTGTTTACAGATGATACAATATTATTTAAGGTTGATGCATCTACAGATGACTGTGAAGGTTTGGAATAATATTTCCGGGCCAAGTAGGGGACAAAATAGTAGAGGATATTCAGTGTGTGTTCCAGTTGCTTGCAGTTAAACACCTAGTCATCTGAGGGGAGACGTGCCCGCATGAAGATGGCAGAAATCACACACACAGTCAGTCCTTAATTGTGACATTACATGCCTATGTTTGGGAAACTGAGATATTGTAACACTTAGGGAGAAAAACAGTCTTAGGCCTATGTAAAAGTGGCTTGCAAAATATTCAGGTAAGAGGTTTTGAAGTCAATGTGTATGAATCTCTGAAAACACCAACAATGATCAAAATTGAAAATTGATTGATAGATTATTAGAAAAAGAAACCTAAAGGGGTATGCTCCTGCATAAAACTTCTATAAGCATCATGAATACTGTGTTCAGTATTGATTTTTGCATCTCTAAAAAGCTATAGGAGAACTGGGAAAGGATTACAAGGGAGAGGGGAAGAATGTAACTGCTTTCATGTGAGTTCGAGTACATTAGGACTCTTCATCTTGCAAAAGCCATGTCAGAAGACAGATATGACAGAAAACTATGAAAAAACATGAATTATGTCAGAATGTGAACAGGGAACCATCACTCACTCTTACTCACAGTATGAGATGCAAGGCTCCCACAGCAAATGAGCTTTTAAAGTTTAAAATGGAGAAAATGCTGCCAGTTGTGGACTTCATTTCTATAGAAAACTATGGAGGTTAAAAGTATAGATGGACTGAAAAAACAGTAAGACAAGGTCATGTAGTTTTGGTCCATCGGTGTTCTTAAACAAGATGACTTGGAGGCAACACTGAGGTTAGTTACTTTGTAAGTCAGAAACATCCAGAATGCAGAAGGAAAAATTACTTTATGCATATCACTGTCTCTGCTTTTCTCTTTCTAATCACTGATGCTGGAACAAAGGAGCAAATAAGGAAAATTTGGTCTAACCACCATGACTTATTCTGCAGTTTTATTACAAGATCCCTCCCCTTGACCGGTAGAGCTCTGGCTTCTCTGTGGCATAAGAACAGGGAGTAAATAGGCAGGGTCTCTTCTTCAGCATATATACCATTGAAATCCAAAAATAATTTTTTTAAAATCACAATATGCTAAGAGAAATGAAAGAACCCTTCAGGAGGCGGCCTCAAAAAAATTAATTGTCTCATATTTGGCTATATTAACTGTGAATCATAGAACATTCATAATCCTCCTTATAATGACAGTTAGAAACAGCCTGAAATCCTCAGTGACTTAGAGGCACTGCTGGAAGAGAATAGCTTTTGAGCAGTTACAGAAACTTTACACGAGCAGTCAGGACAGCACCTGTGCAACTGAAGAACAGTAGGTACTCATCCTGAATTCAAACACACAGGAGTTAGTTCTGGGAGTAAGGATAACACCAGTATAGGAAGAAACAGAAACACAGGAAAAAACAATTCCAAAGGTCAAAATCTTCATGGATTTTAATGACCACAGCTTCTGGTTGGTTCTATCTCCTATTTCTGGTTAGCACCTGAAACCCCCGTGCAAAAACACTCCCACATTGCTCTGAAGCATTGTGCTTTCCCCTCTTATACATCCTTTTCCACTCAAGCAAAGGCCCCTAAAGATTGTTCATACTTATATAAAGCAGTTCTGCCTAATTCTGGTATATTCCAGAATGTGCTGAAGGAAGCATCTTCGCAACCTGGCCCACTGAGTGAGCTCTACAGGGTTCATGTCAAATCAAATGCCACTAGAAAGGCTTTCTGAGAAGTCATTTTTCTCTGACATTCCTGCTAGATGTTTCCTACCATCTGGGATTATTCTAAGCTTTTGCCTGTCCAGGTAGATGTGTTACTCTTTGCAAGGACAGGTGACATCATTGACAACCTTTAGAGATGTAGCTCTGCTCAATTCACAGAACAAACATGAGCAGTATTCAATTTAGAAATCGTTACAACTTAAGGTAAATAGTTACAGACAAAATCCTGATCAAAATATAAGGTTATTCAAACCACAAACAAACAAGTAATAGAATAAAGCAGGTTTTTAGTATTTGATATGTCTGTTCCCTGGGGGATTTGTGATTCATTTGGGAATCTGGATAAGCAAGGTGATCTTCCTCAAACCAGGAGGACTATGTGTGGGACCTACAATATGCCTTAGCAGGTAAATTGCAACCTCAGAGAGTTTATAAGAAGTAATAAAAGTCTGACAAGGAATGGGGGACATGTAAGAACAGTTTAGCAAAAAATGTGAGCCTTGGCATTTCAAAAAGAGAGTGAGACAGAGAACTGGCAAAATTAGAGCAGAGTCAGACCTTTCAAACCAAATTAAACAGATGGCAAAAGCTTTCTCAGTCATATGAGGAGAAAATAACCAAGAAAATCCCTGTGCACTGATCAAATAGAAATTAAATGTAAACTAGGTGTGACTCAAAACTAAATCAGGACTTTGAGAATAAAAAAAAATTTAAAAAAAAATAAAAATGGGAAAATGAGATTAAGTAAAACATGAATTTTTTTTTTTTTGAAGTCATTCAGGTAAAGTTGTTATCTCACCTCTTTTATTTTAATGACAACTTGAATGTTGAGATAAAGCAAATGCAATAGATTCAACCTTTCTGCTCTTCACTAAAACATTTGATACATTACTACATGGGGAATTATTAGTTAAATTGAAAAAGATAAGAGCAAGTATCAGGACTGTAAGATAAGTAAAGAAGTGATTGAACAAGAGATGAGAGTGAGTTATGTTGAAAAGATTTCTTTCTCTCCCTGGAGAAAAGTTACTAGTAGAGTTCCTTTAGGATTGGTCTGGGGATTAATTTTATTTAATATTTTCCTTAATGGCCTAGGCAGAAAAAGTAGGAGTGTACTAATTAATTTGCTGATGATACAAAACTGGGAGATGTCATGAATACAGAGGAGGATTGGAATATTATACAGGAAGAATTAAATGACCTTGAAGACTGGGGTAGTAGAAATGGGATGGAATTTAAGGTCTTGTGCTGCAAGGTCATGCACTTAAGGACTAATGAAAAGAACCAGCTATGAACTGTAGGCTCATCAGTAGGAAATGACAGAAATAAAAACCACCTAGTTGTGACAGTCAATCATAGAATTACTATGAACTACCAGTGCACTTGGACCACAGAGAAGATATATTAGAGATATATTGAGTAAAATATTTTTAATGAAGCAAGAAGAATATTTATGCCATTGACCAAGGTGCTTGTTAGATATCACCTGAAATTCTGAATGTCTTTGGTTGAGATGCAAATGTTCTGTTTGTTTTTTTTTTTTTTAACAGCTGTGAAGATGTGCTGGCTAGTATGAAGATCAGAGGAAAGGATGACCTGTCTGAAAAGAAGCTATGTCCAGGAAAACAGAGGCTGAGAGGGGTAAAAATTGCTATCTGTAAGCACAGATACTAAGAAAAAGCTAGGGTGAAACAAAAGCTCTTGAATTCACATCATAATTTTGACATGAGAACAAATGGACTTAAAGTGGCTATGAATACATTTGGACAAGAAATGGAGGAAAGGAGTGTGGGAGTAAACACAGAGCGAGACAGATTTATTTGCTGGGCTTATGTGATGTGATTCATGTCCTGGCACACGCTTGAACCTGATGACTCCTGGTCAGCCCTATGCCCTATTTTTCAGGCAGCCTTGCTTTACAGTCCTTTGCTTGGCTGAGTATATTTTCTGGCACATTCTCAGTTGTACTTGTGGATATATTTTATAACATAACCTTCTTGATATAACACAAATATTAGATTATATCTTTAGCTTATCTATTCTCTTCTTTCCTGAGAGGCAAAAAGCAACAGCCCATGTCTTGCAATGACCAGAACAATGGAATGAAGCAGAAATAAAACTGCTGTTTCTTTACAACAAATTTGTTGTATTGCAGCAAAAGTTATAAAATAAGAATAAAATAGAACAGAAAATAAACACTTGAGTCCCATCCACTCAAAAAAGACATTCAGGAGTAAGAACAACTGCTCTGAAAAACAGCCTCTAAATTTTTTCTTTTTATCTTCATTCTATATATTTGTACACATTTTTGGAAGTTCCTCAAGTACATTTCAAATTTAAAGCTCAGTTCATCAACTAGACCATTTTCCTTACGACTTAATACTACTGTTACTAAGTTTTCTTATATTCATGTAGTTCCTTCTCAGAGAAGAATAATACTTGCAATATTGATAGGAATTTTTTCTGTGAGACTGTAATATTTTATAGCAATAAGTTAGTTCATTTCTCAGAATATATGTAGTCTCTTTTGTTAACTAGACTACAATTGTGAGCTTATAATTCCTCAGTTTTATGGTATTGCTATTGACATGAATAATTGGGGTGGGTGGAGGGAGGGGGGAAGTGCTCAGTTTTCTCTCTGTTGAGTGACATGACTTAATCATAATGAATGGAAATAGTCTCAAGGATCTGTGCTGTGTTTGTGGTGTAAAATCAAAACAGCCATATTGTGCCTTTACTGCTGTCTCAAATGGATATTCTCATTATTTCATTGTGAGAAATTCTCTACCATAATAAGTCTCAAATCTCATTCTAATATTATGAATTAGCAATGGTGAGGTTGAGAAGCAGCAGCAGCATACTCTGATGCTGAGTAAATAGCGAAAATTGTGTGTTTCCCAGTACAGGGTCCTTCCTTTATCATAAAGTAGTAACTTGAACAGGTTTCTCACTGATTAAGGAGTTTCAACTATTGAAAATTTGAGATTATTTGTAATGACTCATGCATCTGACAAATATTGAATTACAACACTTAGTCTGTGTAACCAACAGCTTATTTCTTTTTGTCATGTGCTGTTGTGTTGTGTTTCATCAACTTCAGAGAAAATGATACAAAATAATGCAAAGTGACACCATGAAATACAATAAGATGTGACATAACACATTAGAAATTTAAAGAATGAAAAGCTTCAGTCAATTCAGGAAATAGGAACCCTGTACAAATTTATTGTGACAAGTAAGAACAGTGCAAACACTAAACACTGTTTTCAAACCAGAGGGCACCATTGTTTTTTGGCCACCGAAATTGCTTGCAGATACTGCCATTATCTTTATTTTTAGTTTAATCTAATAGGCACAGAGCTGCGAGCTTTTCAGTTTGAGAGGTGTTTTCGTTGTTTTAGGGGTTTCTTTCCCATTTCCCCAGCCTGGCATTAGTATCTAAATATATCTAAATTGGCATCTGAATGACTTGGCGTGATTTTCGGCAACTTTCCATTCCAAACAAACCCGTTCCCTGACATTTAAAAAAAATGCATTGCTAACATGTTTCCAAGGATTTGTAAAAATCCAGTTCTGTGAATGCAGGCTCAAAATGGGTGAACAAAAAAGCATCTGTGTTTGTAGAAAAGAAGTGTTTTAGGTTCATAACTAGGGAATGCTAATTGAAAATCTAGAAACAGGTTGCTTTCCTGTAGAGTACTAAAATTAACTGGAATATGAAACAACTCTCTTAAATCTGACTACTCAAGACTTTTCTCTCTCACTCTTTCACTGTCATCTATTCATATCTGTCTGGTGATATTTAGGTCTGTATTAATGGATTAAAGTCCACATTGATCTCAGTTGGAAAATATGAGTTGCTGTTGCTGATCACCCTATGCTATTGCCAAAGCCTTCTCCTTTGCTAGTAAAGTCAGATTCTATTGAAGTCTATCCCAAATAGTCATCTGTATAAACAATGATATGTGATTCTAAACTTCAAGCACATTTTCTGACCAGCTGTACTAACCATTTTTATGTAAGTTTTATTTAAGGGCAGCACTACCGTGCCATGAAGTCAGACAATGAAGAGATTAAAACTATTTTTTTTTAAAACCATTTTAGTGCCTGGATGACTCATTTGATGGGACACTGGCCTTTCATCACAGGGAAAAGAAGCTCATATCTAGCCCTGACTGTTGTGTTCAGAAGTAATCTTTATGGGATGCTTATAAAATGTTTATAATGAAATGAGTAGAGGGATTCTTGGCTTATTGTCAGTACAGTGAAGAAGAACAGGGAGCTGTCAACTAGTGTACGTGCAGGTGAAAATTAAGTCTCCTGAAAGGGATTTTAAAAAGTGCAGAGCTCATACAGGCACCTAGCTAAGTGAATAATAGACAGGTGACTGCTAAAAAACACGTCTTTCCTGGCAAATCAAAATTAAATAGTGTAGAGAATCCTTCTAAATCAATAACTGCTATAAAAATCTCTGTGGAGATTTTTTTTTGTGCACAAAAGGATAAAATCCAATGTTCATTGAAATGGATGAAATAATAAATGAATTAAATATATGTTCTTCTGTGCTGCTCCTTGCTGACACTTTTAAAAAAGTAATGATTCCGTACCTGATCCTTAGCTGAATGACACATCTGATTAACTCCAAGAGGTGGATTTTGTGCAAGATTTTTCAGAGCTAATTCTGCCATTATTTGAGCTTCTTGTATTACATCAGCGGAGAAAGTGGCTAAAATATATTCAACTACTTTTTAATGTGAGTTGGGATCCAAATTGGTACAGTTGTAGCAGAAAAAATTAGTTGTGTAATGAACTTAAGGCTTCTTGAGCAACTTTCTTGACTTCATTGTCCTCAGGTAGAATAAAACTTGATGCTGATGGGATTTGATACTGATGTGATTTAAAGCCAGCTTTTAATGTATTTATGTAACTAACCACAGCTCATTTAAAATCTGACCTGTAAGTGTTATTGTCTGTTTAAAGAATTATATCATATGATTTCATGATGCTTAGTTTTCAGTACACCCAGAAAAACAAGTCCCAGGAAAGCAGTCAAAGAGGAACTTAATATTTTTCAAAATCTGGTTAGAATTAATTTTTATTCCTTATAATTTTAGTGATTATTAGAACTAGGCAACTTAAAACTGAGTTTTAAAAGTTGATAGGCTTTCCATGAGGTAGTGGTTGGATGAAACATTAAAATTAATAAACTCTTTTAAAAATATAACTTTGTTTCAATGTTTATTGAATAGCCAAATTATTTTGTCAGCCAATGAAGTACCACATATATGCATACAAAGGTATGTATGTGAACAGATATAATGCATTCACGTTATACAGATAACAGTTGTAATGTAGGCTCGCTCAGCTTTAGCTGGTTGTGAGAAAGGCTCCACGAGGTTTCTGGGGCTGTACCTGTTATCCTATGGCATGGGTGCAGATGCACTTCAGTGAACCTCTACATTCCTGTGCTCTGAGCCAAGAACTTCATCCTTAGCCAGCAGCCTTCAGAGCCGGCTGCTTGCATTTACAGAAGTACTGCTAGCACTTCTCCTCTGTACAGGGAAGGCTGTGGGAGGCTGCAAGCCTCTTCTCACCCCCCTGGGATGGTCTGGCTTCAAACTGTGCCTTCCACAGAGCAACTTGAAACTGGCATGGCCTACTGCTTATATTGTAATTTATGAACTCAGCAGTGAGTGAAATTGTTGTGTGTTCTCTATTCTTGCAGTTTCCAAGTACAGGTTTCTCCGTAATAGCCTGCCAGTTTAATGAAAGTAAGGGTTGGGAAGGAGGAGGGCTGTGCCCATTTATTCCTTGGTTTCTCTGGTACAGCTACCAAGAAGAGAACAGATTGAAGTAGTGTCTTTTGTGATGTGGACATCTGCTCATTGAATCTGGATAAGCCCACCAATGTGCTCCATGTAAGTCACCAAAAACCATCATTTGGTAATGACTTCCAATCATCCAGGGCCTGTCCAGATTTGAACCTGTAACCCAGAAGTTGAAAGTTTTCTATAACTGAGCCGTCCCCTGAGCTCACTAGTACCTGACCAGTTCACAGTCAGAAAAGAGTAAGAACACTCTGCAGACAGCACTGATTTTCTGCACCAGATTCTGGAATCACTTTCCCCCCCAGGTTTTCTGCACCTCTGATGCTCTCACCACAATATAAGTTGTATAGCAAATATAAAAATTGTCTCCACCAGCTCTTGGTACAAACCATTGGGGTTGTTTGGTTTTTTGTCTGTTTTTAATTTTTTTTAATATGTATTTTTTAATCTGTACCTCCTCATGCCGGCTTCTGGAAAAAGCTGCCTGGCAATTTGTAAGGATACTTAGATGACATAGAGCTGACTATTACAAGGGTTGGAGGATCAGTTTCTTAATGGTTTCCTGTACTGGAATTAATATTGGAGCAGGAGAGGTCTGCAAATTGTGTGGCAATTTGAAACAAACAGGAAACTGAAAGGCAAGTGTTGTTTTCACATACATTAATATGAATATAGATCAGTTAGTTTTGGAAAGCAGTAGAAATGCTGATAAAACATCTGAATCTGACCCACAAGTTTAAGTACTCCTTTTACCAGTGTTACTTTGGCATATTCATGTGTTTTTAGCAACAGCTTCAAGCCATACAAAGGATGCAAAATAAGTCGTAGTACTTTAGGCAATGTTAATATTGCTAATATTTATAAATATGTTTTAAATTCAAATTCAACTGATGACATGGGTTTTCCTCTTATGTTTTCATGAATTAGAGGTTCCAAACAGCAAATCAGCTATTAGGAGACAGAAGTTTTTGCCTTCCAGCTTGAATATCAAGGAGTTCTGGGAAAGCAATATGCCACCACTGCTACTTTCAAAGTATCTCTAGAATGTGTACATAGCTTCAGGTCCTGCAAAAGCAAACAACCTCTTGACCTCACACTTTCATTGATGGGAAGAAGTTTATATGTTTCTGAGGCTATATTTTGCCATGTTTCAGATTATTATAGCATGCAAAATAAACATATTCATCAGAAAAAGGAAAAGAAAAAAGAATTAATGAAATCCTAAATTCTCAGCTGTGAAACCACTCCACCCTTCTAATTGTTTTTAAATCCTCACTAAGAGCTCAGTGTAGGGAACTGAAAGGCTGAACAAAAATATTTTTAAATCCACATAATGCTAGTTTCTCTCAAGTGTCAAGGAGATTTTCAGATTATGAAGCTTTTTGCATTCTCATATGAGTACTCTGCCTTAGTATACAAATGAAGGGAAAATTAAAAACAAATACTAACTGAACTTTGCTGTGTTGTCCAGATTAGAGACATGTTCTGTGCAGAAGTGATGGGCATGTAAGCCCTTCGTATCAGGAGATCTGTCTGGCACTCATCAGGCAGTGTTACTTGATCACAGCTGGATAAAAATGCACACCCAGGGCAAATCTGTAAACACCAGCTTAGTCTGCACTGGAGAAGTTACTGTCATCTCCTCCGACAGAAAAAGCCTCCAGGACATTCCGGCAGTAACAGTCACTTCAGTTGGTTACAAATGTTGTCAGATTTAGACACAAAACCATTATAGATGTCAGAAAGCTATAACTGAAAAAAAAATAAATATATTGCTTTTTAGGTGTTTTGGTTTAGAAAAATGAGGAAAGTCAGTAGTTTTATCACTATGACCAAAACAGTGTGTGTGGAGGGGTCTCTTAGACAGCACGAGCTAAACAGCTGCACTGTAGATTGTAATTCACAGTTCTCTAGGACACCTAAAAGAGATTTTTCTTCTGGGAAGGGGTTGTGATTTGGACAGTATTTTGCAGGAGTCTTCTTAGTGCATAAACTAGAAACAACTCTGTCTTTAAGAGGTGCCAAAACCTGCTTTTGGCTTCCTATAGCTCTGTCAATGGTCATATTTGCAATTGCAAGACCAGAGCCCATCACTCTTGTAATCAGCCCCAAAAATCATCCTGAATCACTTCATCATCAGAATAGCGATAAACTAATGGGGGGAAAAAGGACTTTAATCAGTTCTAGGCAGCTTAGATAAATAATGCAGTTAGAGATTCATAGCTTGCTTGTCTTTTTCAAGCAGATATTCCCATTTTATTCTGAGAAAATATGCATATATGAAAAAAAAAAAAGAAAATAAAAGAAAAAAGAAAAAGGTAGGTCTTGGGACTCGATTTGGCTACCCAGAACTGGCAATGGAAAACTTTCATTTAAATTTAATGTGAGCTGGACCAGACCCCAGAGTTCCCAATGTGAAAATCCTAATGCTACAAATTACCTCTACGACCTTGTATCGTCCCTTCTGCCTTCCCATGCCCACACTCGTGCGTAACAGAGCTGCAGAATGACTGGTTTCTGCAAAGTGTTAAATAGGAGGAAAGGGAACATTCAGAAGAAAACTAGGTATTTGGGGCTTTCTTCAACCCAAGATTAATGTCAAGAGATTTTTCTTAGCATTAGTGTCAGTGCTAGCCAGAAAAAACGATCCCATTAAAGGGCCCCTCATGAATAATTCATGAGGCCCAATTTAGTGTTAGTACTGAGGGTGAGAGATAAACAGGTGATAAAGTTTGTAGGGAAACCGTTGAGCTTGACATGGTATTTTGGTGTTATTAATATTATTTTTTAAAAAATCTTTATATGTATTAGAGGAAGGAGACATAACACAGATTTTAAGACTCGGGTTACTGTTCAACTTTGAGCTGAGGATCTGTGTGATCTGTGTTTCCAAATCATTAGTGATGAGCTGTTCCCCCTAAGTGCCTTAAAGTAAAAAGTTCCATAGACAAGCTGGCAATTTAGGGGCTATATTTGGCAACAGGATTCCTCAATTCTTTGCTGTTCTCTTCTGAGTTCATTGTGAGTATGGGAGAATAGTTACAGAATGTAGCAATTAAGGGGTTTTTTCTCACCAAATTAAAAGTTACATTTTTGTAATAATTGTGGTAGATGAATAATTTATGTCCATGTAAATGAAATGGCATTTAGCACTGATGTTTGCTGAAAACCTTTTTTGTGTTTAGTGTAAAAAGGTGAAAACAAAACTGATGAAGAGGTACAGGGAGGCCTGTGAGCATGAGATTATTATTGTGTCTATGTGCACTGTCAGAGTCCAAACTACAACTGTCTTCTTTAAATTATAGCATGAGTTGGTAAATTCCAATCACACCGAAGTTACTAGAGATGGTGCTATAGCTGGGTCAGCTGTCTCAGCTGCTCACAGAAAACCTCCTTGTAAGGCCATAGTAAAGAGCCTTTAATTTAAGCAGTATGTCCTGCTGATTTTCATGCATTTAGAAAACCAAAAAGAAGAGATGCACAGTCGCTCAAGGTGGCTGGATGTTGTGTCTTTTCCATGCTGCCCCTTGTAAGGCCAGACAAAATTAAAGTCTTTGTGTCCATCTTGTGCCACTGTTCTTCAAGCCTCTCACTTTCTGACCAAGCTAATCACAGGGAAATGACCACCAGCCACTCTGTGGGCTTGTTTTAATACTGCACATTTTGCAGTCCTCACTTTTAGTTAGAAACAGCAATAGAAAGAGGAATTCAAAATCCCTGGGAACTCTGAATAGACAAAATTTGAGAGCTTACTATGCATATATGTGCTGGGCCTGGCAATGTAATTGTTTCTATTTTATCATACCCATTTTTTCTTTCAGCCATAGGAAATTATTCTGATTTGCACCAGTAGAATTCCATTGCTACTTTCAAGCTGCAAGGAAAGCAAATGAGATCAGCCTTCATCCCCCTGGGTTTATTCTGTTAAATATTTACTGAAGATTGAATTCTACCAAAATGCCACTAGGATTTTGCTCTAAATAAAAATTATGTCATTGGACTTGTGGCCTCTATTGCCATGATCTGTGACCTGTCAATCCCAGATGCTCATTCCCATGCAATGGCTACAGTTTGCATGGTTGAGCTGGTTTAATCCAAAACTGGGATGTCTCCACCAGTGAGTGATTGGCCTAGAGGCATGAAGTGACAGGACAGTACTTCAAATTTAATTTACTTAAGTGATGTTGCTGGTCTTTCTAGAGCGGTCACCTCTGTGGGACATTGGTTTAGTAAGCTAAATGCACATTTCTCAGTGTATAATAATCACTATCCCCTTAAGCCCTATAGGGCGACATGAATCTACTTTAAAAAAATTCTGTAGTGACATGTCCATGCATATGAAAATTTAAATTCCCATGGTAAAAACACCAGCAATTCTCCAAGTTTCTGTTCTTGAGAGAAAAACCAATATATCAAATCTGTAGTGAAAAAGATTACATTTTTGTAGCTGTGCTTCATGAACTTTGCAAAAGTTTGGCAAATAAAAATACTCTCTGCTTTGAAATTTCTGGGTTACCATCAAAGTGGATAAAAAGTGACAGTGATATGCAATCTTGTGATCCAGATGTTGAGGTGAATAATGACACAGCACACAGAGAATAGGTTTAAAGCATCAGACTGAAAATGTATTAACCTGATTTTGTGATTCTATACCCCAGTTAAACAGTCAGAGGGTTCCAGCTGTAGAAGACAAGGCCTCCTACCAACAACAAGAGATGGCTTGCTTTCTACCTCAGCTCCTCAGTTCACCTGGGGATTCATCTCACTGCTCAGCAGGATTAAGGATACAAACAAAGGATTCCTCTCTCTTCACTAGGCTTTAAAGTTTCCTCCTTCAGCAAGGATCATGGTCAGCTATCACTGGGGCTCCAAACCTGAGTTCACCTCGGGACCCACTCCAGGGATATGCTTTTTAAAAGCGTGATGAGGACACACCGTCCAACGCTCCCGAAGGAAAGAAGGAGGAACAAGCGTGGTCAGTCAGATTGGTTGCTTCCTTCTTTCATGATGGTGAGTTCAAGGTCTAGTGAGAATGAGTAGGTGGGATCCAGTTTTCACTGCTAGGATGGTCTCCCTCTGTCTCTCCCTCTCTCCATTCCTCCTGGTCATTACAGGCTGCTGGGAACATATTTTTTTGCTCCTCTGGTGAAGCACTATTCCCAAGGAGAGGAAGGATTCTGATATATTGCTATTTGGGCATACCTTTCTCCTCTGTAAGATGAATATGTAGCCTAGTTGTACACATATATGTGTGTGTGTAAACATGTATTTTCTTCTTTGGATAGTTGATAGCCATGTAAATTGTGTGCTGTATGTATTTTTTCAGGTATCAAAAATATGCACTTTTACAAGTTTGAGATTATCTGTGTTTTCTGTTGCATTTGAGGTGCTACATAAACATTATTCTTCTATAAAAATGCTTCTACCTTGGATTATGCTTGGCACCAATTTACATTGTAATATTACTGACACTGCCATTTAATTTGCCTAGTTGCCTATGGTCTAAGTGTAGGTAATTTACAAACCTTTAACAATGTTCAGCTTTCCTAAATGGTAGGGAGAACTGCAATTACACTTAAAAAGCACTGGTGCACTATGTGTCAGCAAAAAAAGACCTACAAAAGACATAATTATAATGTAATTGCCCACAAGTTCATGAAGTAAACATACATTATTAGAAGGCACTCATCTATTCAATTTAAGTGACATTACAGATAACATATTGCATAAATAGGAAGCCATTTTGTGACTAGTTAGTATAATAATAGGAGTTGAAATTAAAATGTGGTATATGTATTCCTAAGAGCACTTCAAGCTTAGCATCTGCTCTATAGTGCCTTGCATTATGCTCCATTTCCAGTTTTAGACATTTGAATATTCTATAAGGATATACTGCAATAAATAATGACACTATTAGGTACCTCCTTTAAGAAAAAGTTTTGAACAAGAGTTTAGGCTGTCTAAGGCCATTCTAACCCAAGAAAAATATCAGAAGCAGGAGGTGGCCAGAGGCACAGTGGAAATTTTCAGGTGTTGTTTTTGATGAGCAAAATTTTTTCATAACTATGCAAAATTTCAGCTCTATTTCATTTTTGTCATTTGAACACCACTGTAGCCAAAGCAGCTTTAGTGCAGCCCACACCCCATTCCAGACATACATCAACAGGTAACCACCCAAGATGCAGTATCAGCATCCTCTTGCCTCTGCTTGATGAGACCTGAGTGTATGGGGAGCATGGTTCCCACACATCGTGCCAGGCAGAGGATCTAAGGTGTCTGCAAACCTTTGTCCTAAATTGCACATTTTAGAGAATTCATCTATCTTTTTAATAAATAGCAGTTGAATATGTATGTAGATTAGATTTGGTCACTAGAAGATGATGATCCTTCAGGATCACATCCCCTTCTGAACTGTCCCCTTGTTTCTGAACAATTTCTAGCAGAATAGGCTTTGCAAGGATTTAGGGCAAATATCCACCTTTCTCTCATAAAATCCCTGGAATGCCATTCCTCGCATGATGACACCATATCCTCCCTAATAATGTTGTTTTTCCTGCTTGTTAACAAAGTAGTGTGTATCCCAAGTTCCCAGTCCCTGGAGAGAGGTTGGGGTTCATCTCAGCAGAGAAGTAGAGCAAGAATTTTGAGTTTGCAGCCTGTATAGTTACCAAATGCAAAGATCTCCCTTAGGTTATGGATATGCTGTTACAGAACTGATGATGATGATGATAGAACTAATTAGGATTAAAAAACCCCACATTTTATTTTTTAAAAAAATCTTTATTATTAAGCTCTTATGGTCTGTACTGTCCCAGTGAAAAACACAGTTTGGTTTGAAAGTCAGGCAAATATCTTAAGGCTGCTGGAGCAGATATTTAATGTTTTGATTTTCTTGCGTGACCTTACACGCAGTCTGACACAGTGTACGCCCAGAGTAGATTGTTTACTTTTAATTTGCTCATGACAGCCTTCTTTGCCAACTTTTACAAACAAAATGATATCATAGATTTTTACTTGGGATTCCACACTGTTGAACACACTCAGATTTTTTTTTTCTCTTACCTCTTTCATTAGATAAATATAATCATGGATTACAAACTTGTTAAGTATTTCTTTTTGGAAAACATTGTCTGATACTTGATATTGTACCAGGACTCAACCTAAATTGGTTTAATTCCTTGTACCTGCTGTGTAGTTAGATGAGATCAACTAGACAGACCTTTCCCATTGGTTAAAGGTCAAAAATAGCCTAAAGACATGTTGTTTACAGCACATCATATTGAGAAATATACTTTTCATAGAAAGTATAACCATATTTTCATTAGCAGTGATAAAATAGCTTAAACAGCTCTGCAGACATAATTACAGGGGATTATTTTTAATCACAAATCTATTTTTAAGAAAATGTAGAAGAATAAAATTCACCAGAGAATATTTTCATTATTATTTTCCTATAATTATTACAGATTATGTAAAATGTTGTTCTATTTCCAAGTATTTGAATACATTTGAGAAAACCCAGACACTTCAGAGTAGGAGTCATATTCTGATGACATTTATAAAGTAACTTTACTAACGTATGCCTTATACAAAATTACAAAAGAGTCCCTGATGGCTGAAGTTATAACTGATATTGTTGAGTTTTCTCATTTTAATTATTCTTAGGTGACAAGATGGAAATTAACTCATTTATTTGAACTTTTCAAATTATTTCATCTTTGCAAAGAAGAATTAAATTATTTACAATTTTTAATGCTTTGTAAGGTTAGTTTTTAAATGTTTTGTAACCTTTTTTAAACAGAACTGAATGAAAAACGGATTAAGTGCATCTTTGCAAAAGGTATAAGTTTTTAAAAACCTCAAGTTAAAAAAAAAAGAGCAAAATTAAGACATGTAGAGGCTGGGTTGTTGGGGTTTTGTTAGATGATGGCTTGAATTTCCCTCTGAACTATAGCAGTTGAGATTCAGTGGTCATCAAAATGTCTATACGATATATTTTCAGACTTTTTACTTCTTTTTTAGGAAAAGCTATCAAAATTCTTTGCTAATTAATATAAGCTTACCAGGAATGAACAGCAAACACATTAGCATTCGCTTTTGTATTTAATATACATAGTTTACTAGGAAAATATTTCTTTCAATGATATTTTCTACTAAAGAGAAACACTACAGTCTGCACCTTTCTTTTACACTGGACCCCAAAAATCTCAGTATTTTACTTGAAAATAGTTTATACGGATCTACCAAAAGCAATTGAGGGTTTTCTTGAAGCATTTTGGCTGAAAAATCACATTTTATTAAGCTGAAATGTTTACTAAGTTTGTTGAAAATTTCAAAACAAACCAGTAATATTTTGTATTTCAGAATTCATGTTCGTTGGTAGTTGACTACTTTATTAAACTGGACTTTCCTTCTGATGGGAGAACCAGAAAAGTCTTGAGACTTGGATGTAACCATTATTTCTTTGAAACTGAGGGTTGCATAAACCCAGATTTTTAAAGAGTGTTCTTATATTAACTAGAATTTATAGAAACAATGGAAGCTAATCCCATGCTGAGATTGAAGAGACCAGGATTTAAAAGCCTGCGTTCTTTCTATAATTGGGGTAGACACGAGCATCTCCAGGAAAGGATTCATCGAAGTTGAATAACTACAGGATTTCTTTACAGGGAAAAGGGCTGCAAGAATGGACCATGTCAAACAGTGTATTACTATTAGAGTGATAGTTACGTGTATAAAATATGAAAAATGTGAAGGTTTTGTGGTATTAGTTATATAGTAGGTGGCAAGCCAATGATGAGTTTGTCAGATAAAAAAAAAACAAAAACAAAACAAACAAACAAAAAAAAACCAAACCAAAACAAAACCAAACCAAACAAACAAACAAAAAAAAAACCCACAAAAAAACAAACCTATAACGGCCACATGCAACATTTGAAGTAAAAAGGGACATGAATTTTCCAAAAATAGAGACATTGTTCTGTGGTGCTGACATCCTCCCAACAGTCATATCTGTTCACACAAGTCATGTCTGAGAAGAGGGAATAACATTTTCAGTTTTGTATGGCTTGACATTGTCAGAAGACTAGACAGGGAAGATCTGGTAATTCTGTAATTTACAATATTGGATAATAAAAGCATTGAAGACAAGGAAAAAACCCACAACATTATGATGAAGAATGACTTCCAGACATTTGTGATGGCAATTTGCCTCATGAGTGAAATTCCCAGAGTTTTCATAAAAGATGCGTGCTCCAGCCCTGTAAAGTCTGATTTTATTACAGAGGAGTACTCTCAAGTCCAGTGATGTCCAAACAGCTATTTGACAAGGCACCTCTTGATGCTGACTTTTGAGGTGCTTTGGCAAATCATGATTTGCCAATGTTTTGATGCATTTGTTGTTACTGGAAACTACATTTGTCCTGAGATGTGAAACCAAAGTGAATGGTAGTAAGTAAGTGAATATGATATCTTAAATTTGTGAATGTTTCATGGTTATTGGTTTACCTTTTTTGATAATTGTTTAACAAATTATTTGGTGCATATTTTAAAAGAGCACTTAAATGAAATGCCTGGATCTTAAACATTCAGCAGGTGGAGACTATGTGTCTAACATGGACAGCAGAGTCCATGTTTGTATTTTATATGACAAGAGCACTAACTTGGTAATTAAGTAAATATTGTAATAAGTATGGCTCTGACATCCACTTGAAGGTTATAACTCCCCAGGGAACAGATGCTTAATTTGCGGCCGTGATAATAACAACCTAATGAACCTCCCATCTTACTGGATAGCTTAATAAACTTCAAAGAAAACAAAACAAGAATCTATGAGTAAAAGTACATCCTTAGCTTTTCATTAAGCAAAATGAGCATGAGTCAAGGCCCAGCATGGCTTCCAAAGTTAAAGCTACCAGCTACAAAGCAAATGTATGCAGAGAAATGTACAACAAAAGACATAGCTTTTAAACCTCCAGTTGAGTTTCCATAAATGTTGCTTACAAAAGCTACCATTCTCTATGTTAACAAAAAGTTGTGGATATGTTCTTCACTAAATCCTCTTTTCTCATATAATCCACCTTGTGCACTTTATCTCAAGTGTGTTTTATCTGATCTAATCCTGGGCTCATTCATTCTCAGATAGAAGCAACAGGATTATTTCACACTTAAACTAGGCCCAATCTTTCTGTGGGTCCATAAGAGGACACCTGGGTAATGAGAAATTATCTGTGGAACAAAAGATTAAGCAGGTGCTAGGAAAAAATATGTTCTTTCAAATACAACAATTTTAAAGGAAAAGATAAAACATTTTTACTCAGAAAAAATGTTCATAGAAGGCACTACATTTTTTAAAGGAATGAGATTACACCATTAGTACCAACGTTACTTTGCACAAGTTTTGTTAGAAAAAAAAAGAAATTCTGTTTTAGTCACCCTAAAAGGACATTGGTCTCCCTGGACTTACCTCGATTTCGGTGGTGTAGGGTGTGCAGCATATGGGACATATCAGAACATTATTGTTAACCAGGTCAGTGATGTCAGTCATATCCAATTGCAGCTTCTTACTTGTTCTACCAGGCCTTATTTTAGCATACTTTCAATTAGGAGGAGGGGGAGGAAGACTCCATAGCTCAGTAAATTAGCTTCAGATTTTTTTCCTTTGTACTAGTGGGCAAGACAACTCAGACATAAAAATAAAACCTTTTGCTCCTGCCCAGATACGGGGACATGGATTAGTATGAACCAAGTCCAGTCTCCTCTGACTCAGCAAAAAAAAGTCATATATGCATGTGTATCTATTTCACCCATATCTATAGCTATATCTATATCAATATCTGTACTTGCCCTTTAGCTTTTAGAAACCACAGGATCATCTCAGATATTGTCTTTTATCTGTTTTCAGTGTATATCAGACTCTTCATGCGAAGGTGTGAAAACAAAGCAACAATTTAATGTTTTAAAACAGTGGAACAATTCCACAGGAGTCACAAACTGATGCAGTATGTAATTATTTCCCAGTCATTCCCTTGTTCCCTGTTGTCAACAGCCTCCTCACAAACCAGTGTATAACAGCAGAGAATTTGTCCCTTAATTCCACGGGCCCAGTGGGACCCTGGACTGATGACTTGACTTTCTGAGTGGTGGTCCTTTGAGTTTTCTTCTCTCCAAAGAAATACAGCAGAAGTACAGTATGTAAAGAGTTTCGCAGAATTCAAAGGAATACTTTACTGAATTATTACACAAGAGATTGAAAACAAACACATATTAGGAAGAAAAAATAATAAGAAGAAAAAAAATAGAAAAATAGTAATCGTCAAGCCTCAGAATACCAACTAATCTTCTGATCAGCTGGCTAATAGGGAAGAAATGTCCAGTAGGTTCTCACACAGCCTGACAGTAAAAGTTATTTCTTTTTTCTTTTGTAATATAGGGGACTACATGATGCTGGTCACAGAATGAAAGTTTAAATAGACAACAGACACAAGAATTTTATGGTCTGTGTCTTGGTCGGGTGTAAAGATGGATCCGGAGATTACACTGGGCTTGCAGTCTTGGCAGGGAGGGTCCTGCTGCTGGGAGTTTTCAGTTTCCCTGATGTGTGCTGGGCAGTGAGAGTGCTCAGCACCTTCCAAGGGTATAGATCTATGTCTTGGTAGTAGAAAGCAAGACCACCAGGTCCAGAACTGTGTTTTCCTAAAGCACTTCAAAAAAGAAGTCCAGCTTTAGCATTTTAAGTTCTTACTGAAGTCGCAATTAATAGTCTTTTCAGAAATAACTGAATATGGAGTAGCAATTCTCTGTCACATACAGGAATTCCTCTAACCTAGGGAACATGCAGATTGACTTAATGAGTTATCCTACTGAAAAGTAATTCAGTACCTGCAGTTCAGGGTTATTTAACCCAAGGTGTGTTATCCAGGACATGTGTAGAAAAACATCATAACCATTTTTTTACTTGTCATCCAACAGCAGTTAACAGAAATTGAAACAAAGTCAGGCCCTTTGACTAGGTAAGATGAAATTTAAAATTAATTTAATATTTACAATTTCATATTGATTTCAAAATTTATAGAAGTATAATGTTAGACCCATTAATTATCAGTAGCCTCTGAAGATCTCATAGCTTTTAAAAATATATTTTTGCTTTTATCAATCTCTCACTAGTACATATTGGTCAAAATAAATTATGTTTATTGAATTTCTGTAGGTGGATATTTCCATTTCTTTGTTCTAAAATGACACTTTGAACATAGCTATGCTCTTGACTAACCCTTAATTTATGTACACAAGATATATGACTGTAGGCACAAAAATAAACACTGTATTCCAGTCCAGGGGGTTGGAAGTAGTTGATCTTTAAGCTCCCTCCCACTGTAAAGCCATCCTATGATTCAATGACAGTCAAGGAAAACAATTAGCTTTCTTGACTTCTTTCATAAAGTTCCAAAATCACAATTATAGTGAAGGGACAGTCATAAAACATTTAATGGAAAAAATATCATCCTTAAGTACTCAAGACTCAATGTAAAAAAAAAAAAAAATGTACTTACTAGGGATTGTAATTTGTGTATCAGTTGCTTTTCTCTTTTATCTGAATAATTCAGTAAAAGAGTGGCTGTTTCTCTTGGAAGAATGCAACTACTTTAAAGTTGATGAACCTTTACAGTCTGGTTGAAAATAAAATCTTTTGAAACTGTTTTGGAGCCACCATGACTAAATACTAAACTGGGACTGTCAGACTTAATATTTGATTAGTTAAAAATTATTTTCTCCTCTTTTTTTCTGTATAATGCTCCTCCAACTATGCATATTGGAACAAGTTATTGCAGTTTGGATGTGAAGTTTAAGAACTAAAAAAATGGCTTACAAAGTGATGCAGGAATAAGTACGACAGAGATGGTCATAACTGTATATATATTAAAATGTATGTATACTTATTTACAATTATATGCTATAATCTGTTTATCTCTATATTAAACTGTTTGCTCTTCTGACCAATAGATAGTGGTAATTATCTGTGCATAGATACATGTATGAGAAAGGGAGAACAGATGTCCATGATTATGTAAGTTATGGTAATTAATAGGACATAAATGAAACAAGTTTGTTTTTGTTGATGTGTCACTTGCACACTGCTCCTCTTGAGCATTGGGTTACATCCTGTACACGATCGCCTTATTGTCTACTGTCATAAAAATTCCAGTTCTCTTTCTGAGCAGCCACAGAATGGGACTCGCCAGCTGTCATGGAAAATGTATTCAGTTTCATTTCCACTTAATTTATCTAATCTTAATTCTATTATTATTTTATTACAATTATTTAAGTGCTTGGGGCAACAATCTAAAGTAAAAACAAATAAACAGTAGGAGTTCCAGATAATTTGTAAGTGATCTGAAAGGTCTAATGGAAACAACATCATTATTGCAGTTTTATTTTTTGAAAGGTTAATACTATAGAACCTTCGTCATTGCTGCTATAGTTAACAGTCTGTCAACACTGACATGTTAAATTTCTGCCTTGCAAGATTAAAGGCTAAACTCACTGGACACGGAAAAAAAGAAATTGCGAAATAGTGTTTAGATGATCAAAACCTTGTAACTACAGAAGATCTTCCAAGACCATGATTAAGTCCATTTCTGATCTGCTCAACACTTGCATGTGAAGGCACCTGCTGCCTTCCATGGCTATAATGAAATCTGAACACACACTGAAAGATCCACATTCCAGTGTGTGTTTCATCACATTGAGATCAAGTTGTGTCTTGCCATCCTGGGCTCAGCTGATCATCTCTCCTCACCCTCTTCAGCAAAAGCTGTGAGGAGCTGCTTTCAAAGCAGTGCATAGAAGTCACCTGTCTTACATTTGAAACGTGGGTTTGTTGGGATTTGTGCTTAATCATAACCATTGGCTTCTGTTTAATCTCTGAACCCAGCTGTTGGATGTTCACCACAAGAGATATATTCCTGGTGGAGAAAAACCTCTGAAGAAAAAGAGAATTGAAGAAAAGACAGCTTTGGAATGCAGCTAAACTACTGGACAACAGGTAACTTTCTACCTCAGAGACTGCTTTTCATGTTATAAAAGTGTTATGTTTATTCAATTTAGTAACAATATTGTTAGAAAATATCCTGCTTTTTTATGCAATATGCACAATTTTAACCCTATTCTAGAAATTTCTGCTCATAAGTATAAAACTAGTAAATTCAAGTATTCTAGTGGTCACATAATCACGTGGTGGTTTAATTTAATCCACTGTGTAATAAGACATTTGATTTGACTAAGAAAATGTGATAAAATATCCTGGGCTTGATCTAGCTATCACTGAAATTGTTTCAAGGTTTATTCTAGGAAGAAAATGTAAAGGGAATCACCATGAATGGCTGAATGAGACAATGAGAATTCAAAAGATAGGTTTTGAATGACATCTCAACTTCTAACTTTTGGGAATTTCAGCAGCATTTAAAGAAATTTGTATTTAACTGGAGACAAGAAGCTTCAGATAGCATTACTTGTCTAAGATGGTTCTTCTCTCCATCTGAGGGGAGCTGCAGGAAAGGAAGGTAAAATTCCAGAGTGATGACTCCATGAATGGTTTATTTAGAAATTGAAACCTGACTTTGTTTTCTTGCAGAAACCAAATGTGTTAGTTTGATTTGGATTCAGTATATTGACAAAGGGTGTGTTGTTTCTTCTTTTTATCTGAACCTGATTGTAGAGATAGAGAAAAAATAATCTGTCCTGAGAGTAAACAATGATCCAAACTCATTGTTTGCTTGAAATAGCTGACCTTGCTTGGCAGATGTATCTGCACAGATGATGGTGCCTCCAGAAAGAGTTACAGAATCCTGGCAAGTGACTCAAGGCCTGTGCAAGCAGTCACAGGGCTCTGTTCAGCTCTGATCCAGAAGCTGTGCAGCCTTGGTAGGCAAGTGGCGTGCCTGGGGAAGTCTACTCTGCAAAGCTTGACCCACACCCCCTCCCATTGAAGTTCTTTCTCTCCAAGGGGAGGAGGGAAAGGCACAATGAGCCAAAATCCATGCCCCCTGTAGTGGCACAGCCTCATCAGTGCAGAATGCGGGCAGTGCAGAATCTGGTCGGGCTGGAGTTCCGTGCCCGACCCTGTTTGCTGACGATGGGCGCTATGTCTCTTCTGCTGGTTGGTGTGAGAAAGCTGTGAGGCTGTGACACAGAAATCACCTTCTAGCTCGCTATTAAGAAAGTTTAGCAAATTGACTGCTACTAAAATAAGAGATATGAAAGTGCCATCTGCAGTTCAGTCACACGGGGCAAATCTCACAGGCCTTACGCAGTCGGAACACCCATGGAGCGCGCTCGGCAGGAGCTGACCCGCAGGATAATAGGGATGCATACTGAATGAATTGGAAGTAACACCTGGCCTTTGTCTGGAAAATTACCATTTTTTTAGGCCAGTCTTCAAAGCTGAACATTTCTTTAGGACTCTGGAGCCATTGAGGAGGCAGACAAAAGGAGGAGAGTCATGGAGAGACATGTAAAAGCTGTAGGCCCAGCAGAAAGGGCGAGAGGGTATGCAAGAAGGCTGAGGGAACAGAAGTTAAAACCTCTGCATAAAATTCCATCTCTTCCCGTGCAGATCAGTTTTTCCAAGGGTGAAAGGAAAATGAATTTTCCAATGCATTTAAGTGATTTCATTACACAATTACATGCTTGCCTAAACTTTAGCCACATACTGTTAGCCATCCTTGCAAGTAATCAGTTTTTGGTCTGTGTTTTACAACAGGTACTTAGTTTAAACATAAAATGCATTCATGTCTGTGTGTGCAAAGAGACATATTCACCAAACTCTGTGCCCAGTCTCTCATTCTAGAGGTAGGGAATGCATCTTTTCTGGGCAAACATACATACTGTAGAGGAAGAATACTTTATCCTTAGAAACATACAGCATAAAATTATTACATATATCTAATTAAGGGGACAAGGTACAATATTTGTGTTTGTTCTCTTCATGCCGATGTTTCTTGGTCACCCTACCTAGGCCATTTTATTTCTCACTCCTAGGGATGAGGGCAGTCACACTGCTGTGTAGGTGTCTTGTGAAGCAGCAGGCCAGCTTTCCTCCTAAAAAGCATTGCACTGTCTTTTATTCAACAGCCCTGTAAGGCCATCCATCCAAGAGAAGGATACTCTGATTAAACCTACGTCCTGAGGACCTCACTGTCACTGTCCAAGCTTGCTAGGCCCTGGCAGATGAACCTCAGGAGTAAAGGGTGGGACCGGTTCTGTGCAAGCTATACATCACCTAAAAAATCCACTGCACAGGCTCGAAGGTTACACCCACATTGCTGTAGCAAGCGTGGGTAGAGCCCTTCTCAAATCTTTGTTGGCGAAGCCCAACCATGAATGAATTAGGGGGAAATGTCCCTCTTCTACACTAACATTCAAGCTTCCAAACAGGTGCTCAACTCACTACACTCCAGTGCAAAAGAAAGCATTACACAGCCCAAAGGGAGGGGTGGATGTACAATACTGGGCAGTTAGGTTCTCACAGATATCTCACTCTAGTCTGAGACCGATCCAGCACAACATATGAGTAGGCTGATGTTGGTAGAACTGCTTAAATGCTTAAAATTTCACACTTTCTCAGATGCTTACTCTTCTCCTGTGCATAATTGGGCCTGCAGCTTCTTGGACTTTTTTTTGGGTGGGTGATAAGATCATAAAAATGAGAATGCCATCTTTGTAGAGACTTAGCAGTCACAAACTGCAAGCTGATCATTAGCCAAATTGCATGTCATCCTTCCCTAAATCAGATTAGTCACAAATGCTTATCAACTGAGCCCTAAAATCCTGATGTGGTTTGAAAATATACAAGTTTTTACGAAGGTTATCTTGGAGGCCCAATAAAAAAAACCAAACATGGCAGCTTTTAATATATCTGGTGACAGTGCCTAACAGCCAAGAGAAATCAGGGTGAATTTCTGTGTAAAGTTACAATCTTTTCAGGAACAAGCCAGTTAGATAGCCTATAGTGCTGGAATCTGCTGTCATTGCCAACAGCTACCCTCAGTATTTTTGCCTTGTTTTGTCTTCAGTAACTCACAGCTTTGTGACAGCTATTAGTGTTTTGAGTGAATTATGCAGCTTTGGGTTGCACAGGCAGGGAAAAAATCCTTCTCATCTGCTGGTGGTGTCAGGTCTACCCAGCCTAAGTAGTTCTGTGCAGTCTGGTGTGAGCTGTAGAGGTTACATCAGCCTCCAGGGTGGACCATTAGTCTTAGGAAACCTCTACAAGCATTTCATGGATGACAGGATGCTACTGTCCCAGGAAAGCAAGCCCATGCATAGGTATTTACTCAACTGTGTATGATATTCTTCAGTTTGGTGCAGAGGAAGGAGCCATGGTCTGTTAGCATACCAATGACACACTGTTTTAAATCAAGAAGCTACTTCAGAGTTTTCCAGGCAGTATTGTAATCACAACTGCATCTTACAATTTGGTAGAGATACTTCTTGAGACACAAAGTATATAATATGTCCATAATATGGTCCTAGTAACAGGTTCATATGTTCATCTGTCTCTTCTACTACCAGAATTGATTTTCTTCCATATTGTCACTCAGTCCATAATTAAAGGAGCAGATCTCTATTTCTTTTCTAACCACCTGTTTCCTGTTTTGAAATGTAGGGTAAGCAATAGTGTATATTTTTTTCCTAAGGGGGAAATCTTATTCCTAGAGCACAAATAAGGTTGTTTATATCTGCCTCAAGTGCCACAACTTAACATACTTATGCTCTAGTTATCCAGCTGACTTTCTGTATTTATTAGATTTTTAGTACAGTATGTGGCATTATAATCAATGCACTATTGACAAAAGCACTTGGATCACACACTATTTATTTAATTTACTACACTGACTCTCATTTAGTAAACTTAATTCATACACTGTGTTTTGCTGGCACATTTAGATACATTATTCAGAAAGGGCACATGGATTGCACAGTAAACCACTGTAATGTCTGTTATGTCACAAGCCTTGCTATAAGATGCTGATCATTAACCCATTCTCTACTGCAAATCTAGCTTGCTGAACATGTTGAGCAGTAACTTGTGAAGTTGTCCATAGTTCTGCAACATTTTTAATGTCTACTGAAGTCATATCACGGAAGCATTTTGTTGTAATTTGCAGGCACCATAAACACTAAATCTCCAACATCTCCAACACTTCCAACCAATTATATCAGAGCAGTCTGATTGTCACTCTTTTGCACTTAGGATTCTCCCATTAGTAAGCAGTCTTATATTACAGGCATAAAACATTGTTAAGCATTTTAACTCTGCCAGACTAGCTGCAGCTGTGTCACATTTGTGTTTCCTTATTTTATGTGTGCCGGTTATCTAGATTAAAGTTGGAATAGCATAGCACTCCACTAGATGACAGGCTTGGTTTAAAGCCAGACCACTTAGGGATGCTTATCAAACAATTTTCAGCTACATACAGTAGCATTATTCAAAAACCTGAGAAGACTCTAAATTATCAAGCATGCCATGAGAGATCATTTCTTTTTTGGATGGAAGATAAAAGTATTCCCCTCACAAATACACGGAGTCTCCCTAGTCGAGGCATCAGTAGAATAATCTGATTTAGTATTTTCTACCCAGTTTTGAATGAATGTGTTTTGAACATACACAGTCTTACTCAGTCGCTTGGGACCTGAGATGGAGAACTGTCAAATCAGTGGCCCATGAACTTTAGAAAGTCCTATGCTTTCAATAGCTCATTTTTCCGTTCTTTGATCTTATGCTCATTTAGTCTTTGTTTGCTTGGTTGTGGTTTTGAAGCTATTAATGACTGATTCAACTCCAGATGATGGGCTACCCTCAAGCAATTATGCATTAACTTGCAGCCCCATTAGATACAGGTTCGCCTTGAGCTTCCTGTCCATTAAGTGAGACACCTTGTACTTGTAGACCATCACATATTAGCAGGAAGAGTATGAGTGGTGATTCTGATACATGCCACGAGTGGGAAGTTTTTCCTGTATGCTGGTGACTGTTTGGACTGA